TCCTTCCAAAAGGGTAGGCTCTTCTTGTCATCGTTCATACACTGTGGAGCTCATTTAGCTCTATATAGGGATCAGATATGAAAAACGCATCCCTTGAACTACTTGGTTTGTCGATGCATGTAAAAACAAAGACACATGCGCAACGAGATCAAAACTTAAAATGGAAATAAGAATGATCGTGGGCATAAAGTTGTCTCACGTTTTCGACAAGTTTCTAGATTTTCAGATTAATTTAACATTAGATTTGACGGATGCGTTGTCCATGTTTTGAGGAGATCAGCTCAGCTCTTGATGCATGAGCATGGCATGAAGTATGAGAAAAAGTTAATTAGCGAATAGATCTAATTGTCTTCCTTATTAATCTTTCATTTAAAGTCTTGATCTTGACCGAACGAGCATGACTAACAGAGCTTATAACTGTATATAATTGAGCCACCCCTTATGCTATAACATCAATACGCAAGGAAGTTCTTTTTTTTTCCCCCTTTTTCAGCCAATTTGACGATAATAGGGGAAGAAGTTACTTAATCCTAAATCGACAAGTTTCTATTGTCGCACTGAACTTGGATTAACGTTTTTGTTGCCTGATAATAATTCCAATAAGTGATTGAAAGTTAATACATTCGGCACTTAATAATACTAATCCCATTTGATAACCACAATACTTTTAACTTAAATGATTCGATTATGTCAAAAAATCACTTAATTATCCAAGTAAAATTGAGGTTACTTAATTCCTTATTCAATAAGAGTAGACATTTAGAAAGGAATTAAAATCTCGTCTATTGCATTTCTAGAAGCCTAAAACCTACCAATATTATTCATCAGTTCATATTTGCTAAGAAGTAAATATTCAGTCTTGGCAATATTAAACTATTATCAAACAACATCATATTTTTTTTCATTTTTCAGCACTTACTATTCCGTTTTTTAAAGCAGGCCCTTAATTTCAGTTCTTTTTTGAAGGACAAAAGAAAGTGCTTCTTTAATAAAAAGGAAAATATGTGCTGAATATTTAAGCAAAGTTGATAATCATAAGCGTTCAAAATATAAATAAAATGTCGTTTGATTAATGGATAGCTGAACAATTAATTTCTTACCAATACATTTGGCAAAATTCTAGTAGCCATCAATTATTTCCTCTGTCGAGTGAATTAAGTAATTTCTCACACTTACTCATCACTTTAAGTGAATATTTCTACTTAATTGAATCTTTAAAGTAAGTGCTGCATTATAGGAGTGATCGGTTCCAGGGTGGGTAGGGTCCAGACCTGGAACCTCGAACCTACTCTGTTACAACTAGTTCCCAGTTTTTGGAACCTGGAACCTACCTTGTTTTCCCTAGACCCTGTTTTGGAACCTACCATGTTTTTCCGGTCCGGTTCCAGGGTCTACCCGATAACCTATTTTTTTTTTTTTCTAGTTTCAGAAATTTGGAGCAAAATAAACAATCCACAAGCACCTTCTTCCTAAACACCAAAATCTTAACCCATCCCCTCGGAAACTTCTCGAAGTAAAAGAGCGGCTTTGATGAAAGACACGACAGGCAGTGACAACAGATCTAAAGATCCATGTTGTCCCTCTCCAATTCTGCAAATCATCCTCACCAGCCAGGCTATTCAAACACAAGGCTTGGTTAATCAAAGAAGGGGCCTGGTCTAAGGTCATCTCAACTGCTTTTTTAGCAAAGGGGAAGATGGGAACATCAGCCACCGTTGCCGATTCACTTCGAGAATAGAACCAGAGCACAAGATTTCAAGCGGCGGCAAATAATCCAAGGTCTGGGGTCACTGAAACTCGGACTTAGGCAAGGGGAGAGTATCGAAATACAATATGCGACGTGCACAGCACATTCAATTCCCTTCCCTTTTCGAGCTCTTTCACGACACTTCCTCGTTACAAGCGATTCGTGCACAGCACATTCAATTCCCTTCCCTTTTCGAGCTCTTTCACGACACTTCCTCGTTACAAGCGATTTGATCGTTCTCGTCTCTTTTCCACATCGATTCGCCGTCACACAGAAATCGCGCGCTCTAAAAACAACAGTAGTAGTGGGAGCGGGATCGGGGGGGAGGGGGATCGTGAGCTGACCTTCGCAGCGGTGTAAGGGTTGGACGAGCTGGGTTGCGGCGACTGAGGTGGCGAGCAGCCGCAGCGACGAGCGGCGATGAGTTGGGTTGTGGCGACTGAGGCGGCGACGAGGGGCGACAAGCTGGGTTCCGGCGACGAGCGGCAACGAGCGACGTTACGGCAACGCAGCAACGAGCGGCGTTACGGCAACGCGGCAACGAGCGGCGTTACGGCAACTCAGGCAGCAAGCAGCTGTGGCGACGAGTTGGGTTGCGGCGAGCAGCCGCGGCGACAAGTTGGGTTGCGGCAAGCAACCGCGGCGACGAGATGCTACAAGCTGGGTTGCGGCGAGCAGCCGCGACGACAAGCTGGGTTGCGGCGACGAGCAGCCGCGGCGATGAGCGGCGAGCAGTCGCAGTGACGAGTTCTCGCGAGCAGACTGAGAAGGGCCAGAAGAAAGGGGACTCGCAAACTGGAAGAGGAGGGAGCGACTGAGAGTAACAAATGCTAGGGTTTTTTTACAGTAACTTAAAACCGGTTCTAAAATCGGTCCGGGTGGGTTTTCACTTAGACCCGGGAACCGGACCGGTTCCAACCGGTTCCGAAAAAATAGAACCGTTTCTCGAACCGGTTCAAACAGGAACCGGTTCCTGGACCTGTTTTTCGGGTGGGCCGGTCCAGTTCCCGGGTAAACCCGATCCGGTTGCACACCCCTACTGCATTAGGTTGCAAAAACTCTTGGGGTTGGCAACGTATAGTTGAAGGGAAGGAGCTAGTGAAGAGAGGAGCTGCATGGCTTGTGGCCAATGGAGAATTTGTCTTGGAATGGTGAGATAATTGGGTATCTCAAAGTCATGAGCTAATGCTTCACCCAACTTGGATGCAGACATTAATTCTGTTTTACAGGTGGAAGCCATTATTGATCAGGATTCCAAAAGATGGAGTTTGGAACCAATAAGGCATCAAGTGGAAAAGGAGCAACTGGACTGAATTCAAAAGAATCATAGTTAAACTGGAGCAAAGCAAGGACAGACTAAGATGGCCCTGGGAGAGAGATGGAAATTTTACAGTCAAAACTTTGACTGCTTATCATTGCGCAAGACAACTTGAAAAAAGAGGTATGGTTAAATTATAAGCCTCCTGTTCTCATGCAATTGAGGATTAGGTGTGGAAAGTAATTTGGAAAGCCCAATGCCCACCTAAAGTGCAGCATCATTTGTGGGAAGTGAGTTCTGGGGCCATTCCTGCCAAGAAGAAGTTATTCCTAGGGAAGATTAATCAGGATCTTTGTTGTCTTTTCTATGGAGAAAATAACACTATAGAGCATTTGTTGTTATCATGTGCTAGATGTAGAACTATTTGGTTTGAATCTGCTGGCATCAGGATTTATAAAGAGCAGATTACCACTTTTGATGTGTGGCTAAAGGAGATGACTGAAGGATCTCGTTCAAATGCCAGTTTAAACCTAGAGGTTGTGACTAGAATAGCCTTCTGTTGTTAACAAATTTGGAAAGAATAGAAATGAGATAGCTTTTTTAACCAGTACTCCCCAATTGATACTGCGCTGAAGGAGTTTGATGTGAACAGACGATACTGTCAATCGGCTGAAGCAGAAATTGGAATAGTGACTAGGAATTCCGATTTAGAGCTTGCTGGGGCAGCATCTGCATTGAAAGGAGACTGACTTGTTGTGTATTATGAGTCAACACAGGCGGGGTAAAAGGTTCTGGAAGTTGGAGCCTGTCCTAGTAGCCATTTCTAAGGAATTAGAGCATTTTCAATAAGTTTCTTTTCTACTGTTCCTAGAAAGCTTAACATGTATAACCATTGGGTAGCTTCACGCTATAGTAAGGAAGATGGAGCCAATCAATTGGCATCTTGTACTCCCACCTCCTCTGAAGTCGTTGCTAGTTTCTGAAGGGGGGAAACATTCTCCATGAATTTGTACTTAAGACTTTCTCTGTGATGAATATGTGGAAAGCACATATGGTCGTGCGGATGAGCGGATTGGACCGCATCGGGACACGGTTGATCTGCGTCCTTAGAAAGGGACGATGTTTATAATACTTGGCGACAGATTCCAAGTTCGAAGATGCGGATCGAAAACTCATCACATTGCATTTCACTATGAGGTAGAATTGGAGATTCACCTTTCCATTTCCATTCTTTTATTACTAATTCATTTCCCATGTTTAAATAATAGCAAGATTTGCAGATTTTATACAGGATCTCTGTTTATTCAATTTAGTTTATATACATTTGCTTTCTTCAATTTAGTCCCTGATCAAATATTTGGCTTTCAATTCATCCCTTTGATGCCAAGTAGACAGGGAACTTTATCTTACTTTAACAGATGGGAAAAACATAGAGGGTTATTCTATAAATCCTCGGGATAACATGTAGATTTTGGCAATGTAGACGACACAAGCTCTTTTTTAACCTGAACTAATGATGCATCCATCAGAACACAAATAGAGAGGAAAAACATGACGAGTTGTTTTCTATAGTGATAAACGGTGACGTTCCATCCTATGATGGCATTAGAGTTCACCTAATGGAGGAACAGAGTTCCTAGAAATGTGTATCCCCTAGCAAACCAGAATTTCCCGGTGCCGGGCACCACGTACACTTGCCCATATTTGTTGTAAAACCCATTGGAACCCTGTATTTCTAGTGAGCTCCCGTTGAACTCCTGGTTCGTGAACACAATGACATCAACAGGTGCAAATGTAAAACAGTGTGATTTCGCGAAACAAAGGGCACAAACAAGTCGAGCTACTCACTTACCAAAAAAAAAAAAACAAGTCGAGCTACTCATAAGTCGCGCTCATAAGTTGGATAGTTGAAATTCAACGTGATTTAGCTTGACCCATATGTTTGGAAGCATACCAACGTCACATGGATAGGACCATTCATTTAAATGAAGGAGAATACTCGGCCGAGAAGTAAAGAATTGAAGTTCAAAAGTCAAAACTTTAGAGCACACCTACTTACAACTTTAATGACAATGGAGATGAACAGTGCCCCAAACTGCCATAGCTTTACCCTTATCTGAGGCCTGAGAGACTCTAACCCGTTAGGTTACAAACAGGAATCTCAAATCAGACTCCGTTAACTTCCCCAAAGCCTCTGACGAACCTCCGACAGTCCTGAAGAGGAAAGAGTGCGTGTTTAGTTCACTTAGCGCGGTGTACAAAAGCAAGCTGGATATCGTGTTATGCTCTTACCCTTCGAAGACTAGTTCCTTCTTCTCCTGCAACTTCAGAATCCTCTCCTCGATCGTGTTCTCAATAACGAACCTCATGATTCTGGAAAAGCAGACACCCAGATTTGATATAAGTTGCCTAATTCACTTTGTTCATGGAAAATAGATATTAGTAGAAAAGACTGCTACCTGATTGGCTTGTACTGTCCAATCCTATGGATCCTATCTTGGGCTTGCCGCTCCACAGCAGGGTTCCACCATGGGTCCATCACAAACACCTACAAGAGATGACCATAGGTATCAGAGTCGGAGATTTTTTACAACCAGATAGTAGAAATACCATACAGGAAATAACCCAAGTAATAGAAAATGCAACTCACATGCGATGCAACTGTAAGATTAAGAGCAATGCCTCCAGCTTTCAAGCTCACAAGGAAGATCTTACAGTCGGGATCATCAGTGAATTTCTTTATGGCAGCATCTCTCGCATTTATCGTCATGTCCCCCACCAGTTGAACACAATTTATGCCCGACTGCAAAAGGCTTCCCATTATCTTCATTTTTCTTTACATCATGAACAAATAGAAAAAAGATATTTTTCATTTCACCTTTTGTAGGGAATAATTGATGAGATCCAGGAACGATGCAAACTGACTGAAAACAATGCCTTTGGCAGAACCATCCCGTTCAATCATGAATCTAATTTCTTCCCTCTAATATCATCCACAATAGTTAAGCAGAGAATAAATGAAAACACTCGCGTATTAAATTTTGAAAGCAGCAGATGATTCAGATTAAATAAAACGAAAGAACAAGATCAATATGAAAAGCATTCAATTTGCTCCAGCAACCAGAATAAACATTTATCAAATATGTGCCAGAGAAACCCAACACCTTTTCCAGTTAGCCTCAATGAAACCATTAATTCCACAGTCCAAGCCACTATAATATATGACCACTGGTCGTGAACACTAGTTTGGAACAAAAGTTAATTTCATCAGATTACAGCAATGCCATGGGATTCTGTATTATACCCTCAATTCAAGGCACATAGTTCCTTGGATTCTTAGTGTCCTTGAAGCAATTCGAATTTATTTTAAAATAACTAGTCATCAGGATATCTAGCAAGCATTAATGTGTTACCTAAAAAATATGACAACCATCATCAGCCTATGGCTGTCAGCTATAGCTTATCAAACTCAAAAACAGACATGTGACAACTAAAAGTACTGTTAAAATAAAATGTGGAGTTTCTGGAGTGCACATGCACATCACAGCATGTAATTGAGGCTCTGACCACGTTAGAGAGAGTCTAGGCAATAAAACTATAGTCAGAGTGGTAGAACAATAAAAGACAATTTTTTCCAATGCATTAAATTGCTCAGTCACCATTACTAAAATTTCAACTGCTTCAAAGTACAAGAGCTGGCTTTCACAATAACTCAGACTATCGAGCAATACTTCATCAAGAGCAGGTTACTTGAAGAATGGCAATTCATCTTAAAAGTGGCCCTCAAAAGCCTACTTGTAAATGCAATTTCATGTGCTTAAAAATTAAAAACAATTAAATCCACATTAATCAGGCCATAAGAGAGCTGTACATCAATTTAAATCTCCTAGGAATTTAGAGTAGCTCCGCTAACTATGCCTCTGTAGGAACTAGCTACTATCTTAATTCATTGTAAAAAGGCTCCCAGCAAAAGAGATGTATGAAGAAATAAAAGCGAAAGGTGAAGCACTACATACCAAAGCTTCAATTTTTGTACTTGTCTGAAAATCATTCAGTTGTATCCTGTTAAGAATACTGGTGGATTTAAACCCTTTGATAGTTGATTTTGAAGAATTATTTCCAGCATCCGACTTTGAAGACAAATCAACAGTAAGCGGCTTAGAACATGTAGGACAGGAGAGTTGTCCCGATGAAGTAGAAACTTCAATCAAGCAAGCCTTACAAAATACGTGTACGCAAGAGGTAACCTGAAATAGAAAATTGAATCAATTAGTAACGAAATCGATGAACTTGACCTGGGAAAGCTTGATTTTCAGACTGCAAAAGAGAAACTCAGCAGGAAATAGCATCAGTTTTAAAGAAAACAAAAGACCTTCATGCGCGCGAGCATGCACACACTCTGCGCACACACCGTGCGCGCGTGCGCACACACACACATACAGTTTCCGGCATCCTTTTCTAAACAATGGCATCACGAATGACAAAGTGCCAAGAGTGAAAATGCTATCAGTTTTCAACCACATCTACTGAACCAAATACGCACATCTAACTTGAGATATGGGACGAACTCCAACCACGTCCCAAATAGGGCTTGGTGTTGCAAAGCTCTCTTTTGCAACATCCATATCTCTACATTTCAATCCACAATTATGACAGCATCCTGCAGAGATCTTGCACTCATTATGTCTAAACCTTGCTGATCCCGCCTAAAGGACAGTCGCAAAGCTGAGACTCAAATATTAGCCCTCCACTTATCACATTTTTCGCATACTATATCGGATCATGCAGAGCTCAAAACCAACAAATAAACTCCTAAAAGTGGAAACAATGACAGGTTATTGCAAGAACGTTAACACGTGGATAGCACAAACCATTCAAACTGTGAAGAAAATAATGTAAATGAAGTAGAGACGGCCTGAGACTGGAAAAGTGAAGTTCCTCATGTACTTTCAAACCACAAATTAGTTTTCTTTTAATCTGGCTGGAGGCTCCAGGAAAAATGATTTACCACAGGATCTTCTGCAGGTTCATCACAAACACCACATGGCTGTACACCAGTAACAGGCTCAACCATACTTCCACTTCTTGAAGCAGCACTCTTCGAATAAACAACAAGGTAAGGATGATCAACTGCCTGCAAAATTAACCAACAATAACAATTAGAGTTAACACATATAAATATAAATCAAGTCTAGTCCTTCAAGTATTTCAGTTCCAATAAATTTTTCCCGAGTTCTTGGGAGAATAAAAGGGAGAGGAAGATGTGCAATTTCATTATGACATGATCAACAATATAATCCCAAGTATGAAGTCCCATCTAATCAAGGTTTTACATATAAACAATCCAAAGCTCTGGCTTGGCCTGTGCTCATAGCATTACTGTCTCTAGTATACAAATCCATGATCCACAGGGAAGCCTATAGGTGTATGAAGGGTATCTAAATGCTCCTCAGGTGATGTCATCATGGAAGCACTGAAATTTACAGAAAAATAAATCTCCAAAAAATAAATCTACAAAGTTCAACAATCACATTCTCGCCACGAAAGCAGGTGCATGCATATAAGAGATGACTTTGACACAGCACCCTCAAAATCTGAATGACCAACATCGAATGACCAACATCGAAGATTTTACTACCTGGCGGAGGCGCGTGAGAAGGTCAAAAATATGCGCATAATTATTCATCAGAGTTCCTGCCTCAACATATCTACAAGGCAAAAAAAAAATACTGTCAAGAGAGGTTCACCCAGAAACAGATTCCATAATACTCAATAGAACATAACAGAGATATAAGAGAAAATTAAAGTCAAGCGCAATGAAATGAAGAAAGGACTCTCTTAACAACCGATGTAAAAACTACATCCTTGTTTCTAATACAATCAACATCAGGAGTTAAGGGACTACATCAGCACCCAGAGAAATAATACATCTTCCCTTATAACAGCAAAAGAAGAAAAGTCCCCAAAGCATGTCCAGAAACTGGCACAATCACCCAAAGAAGATGCAAAAGCAGGAAAAGGCCATGAAACCTATTATTTGTATGATGATATATAGTCCACTGCTCGCAACAGTCAAGACTTATGTTTCATCCCTCATGGAATATAATACGTGGTCATGCAAGCTAGCTGTATGCACCCCTGAAATGTTTGACAAAACCATGCATCCAGTCGCCAACATAAGCAAGCATTAAAGGATGGGTAATATCTTCTTTCACCATTAAATAAAATTTTCTTGGCTTCAGCAGATAACCCATGTCAAGCAACTAAGGCTATCACAGTCTTCAAGATGAAAGAATGAAACAAAGTGGCTAGATCAAAAACAGTGCAAAGTCATTGAAGGTTCAAAGAACTAAAAGAAACCTGATAGCATATCCATGCGCAGTAGACAGACGCATAAAATTTTAAGCCTCAAAAAAGGTTTGTAGAAGAATTTTCAAAAAGGATAGAACCTAAATTAAAATTCTCTTCAATGACTAAACTTGAGAAACAAAGAGAATCTCACGTATTAAACTGAGATTGGCTCTCATTGTACAATGATGTGTAATAGTCTTCTTCTCTAATGTCCAGTGTATCCCGCCTCAAAGTAATCTGCAGGGAAAGTGAACAGAGGAGGAAGCGGTGGATTTTATGTTAAAACCTTGGACATGCCGAATTGCAATTGTACACATATGCAAGAGAACTCACAATTCTAGGTGGAAGTGCAAGATCGGCAGCTCTTCCCTTTTTTGTGCGTCTCAGCAATATGTTTTTCAAAATTTTGTGTTTTAGTAATATCATTGCTCGCCTTCTGCCAACAGCATTTCCATGTGCTTGTATAGGATTCGCTATATACTAGATAGAACAACATATACTCCATATCAAAGTTCAAATGAAAAACATTCCATATGATTTGCCAAAAAAAGAAGGCCAGAGGACCATTGAAAATGCAACTCACTCGATTCCACCAACAAAAGTGCCGTACAGAACTGTGAGAGCAGTCAGGACATTGTTTTGAGGAACTGCAAATGAACAAGAGACTTACAAAATAGGTAACAAAGGAAAAATACATTAACTGAACTGAGCGCATGCAATCAGCAGGTGAAGCTCTAAGACCAATCGACAAAGTTAATGCAGAGAACAAAGAGTGAGATTGCATTAAAATTGAAAGTGAAGCCAACCCAGATGACAAATAAAATTGAAGAGGAATTCCTCACATAAAAAAAAAGGAAATAAAAATTAGAAAGATCATCTGAGTAAAAGATGCATCTATCTATTGTCTACACCCTCAGTCTATAGTATTTGTGACGTTCTTCACAATATACCTATATCTTTACTCTGCAAAACATATCCCATATAGAACTCTTCGTTCAATTATACCTATTTGATGCTTCATTCTTAAAAGCAACAAGATGCTCATCAGCAATATAAATGAGATATAGGAGCTACAAGCTCCACAATGGCCCCACTATCCAAACTTTCAAGGTCTTTACATCAAGAAAGTAATATCTACTCTATCATCTAGGAGAAGAATCTAACATCCCAAAAAAAAAAATTTCTTTAACAGGCATGATGCTTGATAGTTCACCACTTTAAATATGTCATTGCCACTCAATCAGAAATAAAAAGATTCTTCAGTTTCTCTTTTCTTTGCATTTTTCCCCCTGGCAGGATGATCATCAATTTAGGGACATTATCCACCACGGTACCCAAGAGGGTGCAACCCACCAAATCATGTCAAATACAACATACAAATCAACAGCATCTACATATCTATTACCAACTGTAGACCAGTGGACCAACATTTTGAAGGTTAGGGATATATCAGGAACAAATCTTGTGCACGCTTCAATGAATAATGATATGAGATAACAGCCCTTAAACATGTATCTCACAGGGCAAGAGACAAGTATGGACTTGTTCTCTAAATGGATTCCAGCAATAGTTGCATCAAGATCAAGACACCCTGTGAGAACTATGTAGCAACATGAGATCCGAATCACGTCACACTCTTAACCTAGAGTCTAGATAACTTATACACAGGCAAATCACATTCAAGCAAAGAAAAAATAACATGCAGATGAAAGTATAAAGTCACATCCACATCAAAAAGTTATCATGAAGGCTTAGCCACTGCACTGCAGATGTTAGTGTGTCAGAAAGATGAGACCGAAGCCTGAGGTACAAATGTTTTGGCAGAAGACTGATGAAACTGAAGCCTGAGGTACAAACACTTCAGCAGCAGGCTGAATTGTGACTTGAGATTAGGAGGTTGCAGCCTTCACTTAAGGATAAAATTAATGAAGACGTATTGCCTAGAAGAACATGGCTATGACTCTTTAAACCCGCAATACCGAGCAGCAAAGATTAAATGGATGTAGCTAACTTGTACTTTACCGTTCATAGAATTGTAGGTGAACAAAGACTTGTTTACAAAGTAAATTAATAAAGTGACACTATGTATTCTTGCGAAGAATGCCACATGCACTGCTTTTTTAAATATCTATGCGAAGATTGCCACATTATTTGGTATGCCAAGTCGCTAAACCGGTCTTTTTGCACGTGTAGTTGCCTCTAACCATCTTGTGTCAACATGAACAACTACGGTCCTACAGGCTGAGATTGCCTGTTATACCAGAAACCACCCATGTAGAAATATAACCCGATTATCTTGTGATTGAAACTTTACATACCTATAATCAAGTGTTCTGCAATCGCAATCTTGACATAAGTAGAATGAATACGGCACAATTCGAAGAAAACGGACCTGAAAAGATTTATTGCAGGACAATGTGATTGACTACAGAAGGTGAATAACAATTAACCACTCCTATCAAATAGAAACTTACAAGAGAGTAGAGCTCCCCAACACGATTTTGAAGAGGTGTTCCACTTAAGGCCCATCTGTATGAAGACTCTAGTGCGAGAACTGCTTTAGCAGTATTACATCGCCTATCTTTGACAAAGTGAGCCTACATTGCACAAAATAGGCATAAGTGGTAAATGTACATGCAGATAAATGTTCAAAGATCATGAAGCAAATCATACTAAGAGATCCCGGATAGAAGTTTTTTTAATAGATTGTGGAAAAGAACATGCATATACGGTTCCCAAAAAGTAATCAAACCTTCAATTGAAAGGCCTAATCTGACAGAAATTTGTCCTGCCAAGTGCAAATTAACGCATTCATGCATGGCTTCACCCAGCCAAACAAAAAAAACGAATCACGTGTTGCCGGCATGGACATATCGAGATCTTTCTATCGGTTACAAAGCATTGAACTATGTTAGCACTCATATCACAGCAAGAAGCTCCCATTCACTCACCTCATCCAAAATAATGCGTTCCCACTTCACTGAGTGTAGAAGCGACTTCCCCACACGATGGCTTTGATCATCCTCCAAATCACTAATGCTGTCTACGGTAGATTCTGTATCTCTCTGCTGCGTTGCCTGTCTGCCTTTCTTCTTTTCTTGCTTAGACTGCTTCATTGTCTTGATAGCGTGAGGACCACAAAAGTACCTGAGGTGAACCGTCATTTTCTCCTTGTAAAGCAACTTCCCACAATACACGCACTTCTTCTTGGGTGGCATCACAAATTTCCTGTACTCGCCTTCAACAAGTGAATATGTGGTTATAACGAAATCATAGTTCTTGAACTGCTCAGCGGTCCTTCCTCTATTTGCTCCATGATATACTAGGATCTTAGTGCTTCCTGCGGCAGTGAAGCGATTGATCTCACTAACCCATTGAGTCACAGCAACCACAGGACATATGACTAGGGTTCCTCTAATTTCAGGCAAACTGGTCGATGAACCTGGTGAAGGTAAGCACCAGTCCAATCCAGTGCCTATGCTATGGATGATTTCGCGTTTGGCTAGGACGAGAGCAATTGCCTGAAGAGTCTTCCCCATTCCCATCTCATCGGCAAGAATTCCTCCTTTCGTTGCAGACTCTTCCTGTTTTAGAGCCCAAGCCAGCCATTCTTTCTGATACCTCAGTAATTCTATGATCAAATCTGAGGATGCCTCCACTGTCTCTGTTACTACTTCATTCTGATTTTCCAGATCAATATCTTCTTTAAAGTTCTCATCGATCCATTTCTCATGTTCTTCTTCCCAAATTTCCCACACTAACGGCGGCCCTTCTCTCTTCTTTCGGCCTTTTCTCTTCCTCCTTGAGCCTCTAGCGCCGATATTTCTCATATTAGCCAGCTGCAGAGCGATTTCATTGATCTGTCTATCGCCATCACTTTCCCCTCCCTCCAGGATGTCTTCCTCTACATCGTGGCTCGCATCCTCCACTTCCCTTTCAGGTTGAACTCGTGCCCTTTTGGCCAAAAGCTTGCCAGAATCCGCCACTTCACCTACAATGAGACCATTTCCATTACCGTAGTACTGTGTCAAATTTTGTTACAACAGCGCCAATCCTTAAAAATTGCCCAATTTGTTTCGGAGAAAGCTCGCTAGCAACACAGCTTATTCACATGCCATTACCTAATTAACTTCAGTCGTTCGTGATGGAGGCTAGATAACTCAAGCATAAACAGTAATCACACTCCCGTGCTTAGAAGAGAGATATATAAAATAAAATAAAAAGTACATCTTTACAAAACTCTGACGAAGCCCAAATGCCATCAAAGCAGTACGACACTTCACGAAGTGACACGAATCACGACGTTTGCATACATTGGCAAGAAAAGCACGCGACGGTAGGAAAGAGCCCACATTACCATCGCTGCCGCCGCCGCCGCCGCTCGTCTCGGAATCCGAAAACGGATCATAATCAACTTCGTCCACGCAAATCACGCTTTCACTGCCCTCTTGCCCGTCGCTTCCCCGCTCGGTACCTGCCTCAAACAAACGCCGACACGACAAACCAAACAAACAAAATCAAGAACCCAGCCGAGCAAACTCGCCCAAAAAATCCACCAACCGGACTCCAAGAAAAAAAAATAATAATAAAAGGGGGGGACGACACCATTCCAACAATCAAGAACACAATCCGACCGCCGATCCCGCGCCCCCACCGCAAGGGCCGAAGCGAAAGCCGCGACGGAGGAACCCGAACGCTGTGGCGATCGGAGCCTCCGAAACGGAGGGAGGAGAAAAGGAAAAGAGGGGGAGGGAACGGGGGAAGCGGAGGCGTTACCGTTAGGGCAATCGGAGGAGGGGCTCGACCGGACGACCTCGCGCGACCGGAGCCTCATCGGAGAGGGGCAGAGAGAGGATCGGGGTTTCTAGGGTTTTGGGGAGGAGGAAGAAGAAGAAAGGAGAAAGGTGTGGGGAGTGGAGTGCTGGTTCGGTCGGCAGTTGCGTTTGGGGGGGAAGAAGAAGCTCCGCAGAGAAAGGGAAGGAGTGGGAAGAAGGAGAAGAAAGAGCAAGCGACGGACAGACCCACGGGGAGCAGCAGCAGCGTGATTCTTGGAATTTCCTTTTATATACGTGTTGGAGAAGACAATGGCCAGAGCAGACGCGACGGCGGGAAAATCTTCGCGCCACGTCAGCGCGTACGGCCCTACCCGCTTTACTTGATTTGGCGGCCCCCCCTCCCACTCCCTCGTCCAGCGCCGCGCCGATTATGGTCAAAAGATAATATAAAATTTTTATCTTATCCCCCGTCTACCCTTTACTAACTCTTTGACCCACAAGAAAAACCAAAAAAACCTTTACTAACTCAAAACAGGATAAAATCAGATATATAAATAAACTAAACAAAAATATCTCGGGACGACGTGGAATAAAGGTGGTTAAGATTTATTATATTTTTAGCATTTTCTCAAATACTAAAATAATTAAATTAAATTGATAATTAAATGCGAATGACATTCGAATTCTAGTATAAAAAATTGAAATTCCAATTGACAAGAATTCCTCATTTTTGAAATTTTTTTTCTTCTATTCTACGGTAGAGTGTTTAATATTTATATTTAGCACATATTTTAGGTAGTAGTGTATTTTATTATTTAGTAAAAAAAATTCATTAAGGAATGATGGAAGGGGATAAAAAGGTAATAAAATTGAAAAGAAATAATAATAATAAAAAAAGAGCCTTGTTTGGTTAGCACGAAAGAAAATAACGGAATTGGAATAAACAGAAAGCCTTTTCAATGATTGTCTAACTCTCATGGCACATATTCTCATTTGCTTTTATGCCGTCGTGTCAATATAGTTTCAAAGCCGTTCACTAATCTTGCGCTCTAATATATTAGATATAGGTTCTATAGAACAATTTTAATATATTTAAATATTAAACCATATTTTCACCTGAGAACTTAAACTTTTATAACATTTGGAAGTGGTCCACAAAATTTTACACGATATTAGAGTAAGGAATCTCGAGTTCAAATTTTTTCAGATCCCTCATTTGCCTTCCTTATTACGTATTTTCACAACTTAATCGACAATACCAAGAATGATTTTCAAGCGCTTTGAACTTGTAAACCAAAAAAAAAGAGAGGACGTTCACAGTGCCTGGCCTACATATGCATAGTGAAAGACCATATGCATGTGTTTGGGCCTTAGTGTTCGGCCCACATTTACAGAGTTCAGGGAACGACTTCTTGGTGGGCCTATTTATATGGCAATGGGCACTATGGGCTTTTCCATTAGTATTCGGCCCAATCAATTTGTACCTATGCAAGATCATATTAGAGAAAACAAGAAAAGACCTCAATTTGCAAGAAAGTCAAAATCGTCCCTTTGTCCCTACATGAAGAGAATCTTCTGGACTATATGTAGTGGGGATAGGCAATCACGTCTGACAACGTATGGTCTCCGTGTCTGCTTTCGCTCCCTTTGCTTCCTTATAGCCAGCAAATGCATTTGTGGATGCTATCAGCCAACCACGCTTACTTTCCCCAAACACCTCTAAACTTGTCATAAATCTCTCTCTCTCTCTCTCTCTCTCTCTCTCTCTCTCTCTCTCTCTCTCTGAGGTGCAAGAGCGTCGATGGGTTGCGGTGATTCGGGGCGTCGGGAGATTCGGTGAAGATGTTGGTGTGGCTCAATCTGATCACGCGGTTAGAGGGGGGCGAGATACTAGCCGCCGTGATTTGATTGAGCCGCGTCAATATCTCCTCTTACCGAAGTTACTAGTTCTATCGCCACGCGCGGTTTACTTCAGAGGATCACTCATATCGCAGCACATCGCATCGTTTTTAAGAAGCCGGGCCAGTCCCGTGTTGCAGCATCTTCCTCTGAGTCTCGATTCCCTCGCCTGAATCAGCACTTTTATCCGGGTAATATCCTCCCCGCTGTATCTTTTGCGACTTCAGATTCCCATAGTTTCCGAGACTTTTCTATTTCCTTCGCTAGGTGCTGACCAAGTTTTGGTCAGTGAAAGTTGCAGCAGAACGAGTTCTGAGTGCCTAACAGTAGTTAGTTCTGGCCCTTTCTGTTGTCTTTGTTTCGGGTCTCTTCCTTGCGTCAATGATCTGCAGATGTTTTGGAAGGCTAAGAAATGATCAGCTTCTCTAATAGAGGGCTTAAACTTCATGAGAAGAATTGTCTTGTTGAAAGAATGAATCTCGCAGAGCGCCTGAAAGAGAGATTGCCGTGATAGTCAATGCAGACCATATTCATGACATTGACAATTGATGCTTTCAAAATCTAGCCAAGAAAAGTACCGTGAGGTCAAGCGAAACCGGGCCCAATCAATGGGCCTGGGAAATTCGGTAAAGCCCAGACTAAGGGTAATTAAGGGCCCGTTTGGTAACATGCCAAACAGTGAAAATTTCTGTTCTTTTGTTTCCAGAAATAGTTTAGGAACAGAAATGCGTTTGATAAACTTTTTGTTCCCGGGCACATTTTTGTAAAAATTTGTGCCCAGAAACAGTTTTGGAAGAGAAACAATAAGTAAAAAAAAGTTTACTTCTTGTTTCTCGGCACAATTTTGAGAATGAGTTCTTTTTCTTCTTTTTCTTTTTTTTCTTTTCTTCTCTGTGTTGTTCTTCCCTGGGCTGTGGCCGGTCGCCGGCGGAGGCGAGGGCGAGGGCTAGACGCTCGCCGCCTGGGTGAGGCGGCTCGCCGTCGATCATGGCGAGGTCGGCCTCGCCCGATCTGGGCGAGGCCGAGCCTCGCCGTCGGTCGCGACGGTGAGGTCGGCTTCGCCGTGGGTCGCGACGGCGAGGCTCGGCCTCGCCCGGATCCGGGCAAGGCGAGGCGAGCCGTCGCGACCCACGGCGGCAGCCGACCTCGCCGTCGCGGCCGAGCGGCGAGGCTCGGCCTCGCCCGATCTGGGCGAGGCCGGCGGTGAGGCAGGCGGCCAGGGCAACAGCGAGGGCCACGACGCCCTGGCCTGTGGCCGGTCGCCGGCGCCGACGACCGGTCATGGCCAAAGAAGGGAAGGGTACAAAGAAAAAAAAAAGAAAAAAAATATTAAATAATTTAAAATATTATTAATAAAAAGAAATTTTATGTAGTTACCAAACGTATTTCTGTTCTTTTCTATTCCAGGAATAGAAATTTTAGACAGTTACTAAATGCCTTAAATGCTCAAAAATTGTTTCCGGGCACAGAATAAAAAAGAATCATTTCTGAATAGAAATAGTTCCCGGGCACAGAATGATTGTCATGCGCACCCTAAGATGCCCCAATCGGCTGTCAAATCCTCATTTGACTCATTCATAATTGAAGAGTGTCTTTGTTAAGTGCAAAATGGACCTCCCGAACTGGGAACTGGCCGGTTTGGTTCGGTTCCCAAGAATGTCTGGTTGGTTTTCGGTTCCTAAAAGTGGAAATAGTGTTCAGACAGTCAATTTCCCAATTCCAAAGTGAACCAGACCGAATCGGACTAACTGGACCAACTACATACACTTTTTTTTTAACTAGTGTGCCATTAAAGACTGAATTAGTACAATTGTTTAGAATTTTTTTGATATTTTTCCTCACGTATAACAAACGCTAAATTATTACGCATTTCACAAAAAGAAAGCAATGTCAAATTACACAAAAAGAAACAAGAAAAGATGGAGAAGCATTAATGACAAAGTTATAGAAATAAACAGGGAAACAAAGTTCATTTCGTAGGGCGCTTTTAGTTCTTCGACAAACTTACCGCAACGGGTCTATCGATGATTCGGGGATATGCAAGGACCGACAAAACGACTTTATGATTGATACGTAGTTACTGACGGATATTCGTTCAACGACGAGTCCGTCTGATAACGTCACATCAAAAGAGTGAAAATGTTGTATTTGTAATCCGGCCCAATATCCCCCGATCATAGAGAAAAATGTGTTTGATTCTATAACCAAAAAATACTTCATCCACCACGGCTCTTAAGTCCCCGAATTGAATGTTCACCATTCGCACAAGATCTCTTTTCCTTCCCAATTCAGTCACATACACGCACTTAGGTGAGTGACTAATGTTCATTATTATCGACTAAACTATACGAAAATCTGAATTGCGCAGTTGTTGAGGTTGATGTCATGTATTCTGCTATCCAAGAGATTATGAGGCGGTTCCGAAAGGCTCCCTGACAACTGGACAGCATGGGGGTCCCTCTCCCCGGTGAGCGGGCGGGGGTCCGGGAGGCGGCCCCGGCGAGGGTCGAGGGGGCAGCACCCCCGGGCCGCCAGAAGTGTTTTATGTTCAGTCATAGAATGATTTATATGGGAAAGCTAAATATTTTAGGCTATGTGGGCAATTTTGTAATTTGTGCCATGTAGGATTTCGCTATATATATTTAAGGCGAAACAGGTCTCTAGAATAGAGGCAGGGGGTGAGAAAAAGTGGTTGTACACTTTTCTACGTTATTAGTGAAACGGATCTCTTCTCCCCGTGGACGTAGGTAGGCGGAACATCTCCCCTGCTGAATCACGTAAATTCTTGTATTGCGCGAATTTTCATTACTTTCTTGCATCGTTGATAGAATCGAATTTACATATTCGACAGCAGTACCCAAAGTGCCCCTCGTGATACGTAGGGGATACGTGGAGCGTACACATCAAAGGTGGAGGAGAAAGGAACAAAGTGGACGAACCACGTTGCATGCAAGCCGGTGCTACGTCCCATCTCTCTCTCTCTCTCTCTCTCTCTGGAGACACCTTGCAAACAATGAAGAAGAAGAAGAAGACAAGCACCGCCATCTTTGCCCCCATCTCTCTCTTTCTCTCTTCTCCTTCACGTCTCTCGCCTAATTAGTCGAGGAGGGACGACAGTCTTTGCTCAGACCGGAAAACATCAGCAATGTCCACTACCTGAGACCTGAACGCTTCTTCACCAGCAATGTGCAGCACCGCATTCGCGTACCCGAAAGCGTAAGAGGCTCGAGAACTGCAGGCGGGGATAGACTGATCAAAGGTTCCGAAGCGATGAACGGCGGTGGTGGCAGGGGAGGAGGAGGAGGAGAGGGGCGGCCGCGGAAGATTTTGAAGAAGGGGATGTGGAGTCCGCAGGAGGACAAGATACTGACGGAGTACGTGCGGCGGCACGGGGAAGGGAACTGGAACGCGGTGCACAGGCGCACGCCGCTGCTGAGGTGCGGCAAGAGCTGCCGGCTGAGGTGGGCCAACCACCTGAAACCGGACCTCAAGAAGGGCGCCTTCTCGCCGGAGGAGGCGAGCCTCGTCGTCCAGCTCCACGCCGAGCACGGCAACAAGTGGGCACACATGGCCTCTCTGGTCAGTCTTCTCCCTCCCTTCTTCATCGCAAAGTTCGTTCATGGGTGCCGTGATTTTCAGACACTTTGCGCGATTCAACGGTGGATTTGGTCTGTCTTTACTAGTGTTGCTTCGAGGCTGATGCGCGAATCTTGCTGTAGTGTTCTTTAGAGAAGTACATCGATCTTCAACGAGAACGTGGCATGCGATCAGATTTAGCAAAAAAAACGTGGCATGCGATCAATTGTTTATCATTTTTTTCCTGAGGTCTGCCTTTTTTTCCTCCCTCTTTTCTTTTGCCTTGCTAGGTTGAGTAGGCTTCCATTTGACTGGATTTTAGTTGATTGTCCTTTTTAATCTTATGTTTTCTATGTTCACTTCGGGAAAAATCATCGATTTTAAAACACATTCTCAAATTTGATCGTTTGTACCGTTTGTACCGCCTGCAGAAATGTATTAACGAAAAATATTTTGACCATCAAAAGAAAATTGTCTAAACATAAATTATCTTTCGATTGGTTAATTTTTCTGAGCCATATAAATAATTATTTCAAGAAAACATTTTCTCTAATTTATCGATATAAGTGATGATGAGCAAATGGTTTTGTGGGGTGATAATGACACAAACAGTTCCTGAACTTTGGCCCAATGTATAATTTGGTTCCTGAAGTTTTAATTTGTTCAAAGTAGTCCATGAACTATATAAAAATGCTCAGTATAGTCCTTCCATTAATTCAAGTTCATAAACTATACTGAATATGTTCATATAGTTTAGGGACTAAATTGAACAAATACCAAAAGTGATGAACCATATTGAACATTAGGTTAAAATTTATGGATTATATTGAACAAGTTAAAAGTTCATGGACCAAATTGTATATTTAACCAAAGTTCATGGACTGTTTGTGTCATTTTCCCTTTTGTGGTTGTCCTCGTTTCCGTTTGATTTTTCTTGCATGGCGTGCTCTCCGGCCTTTTGACTTTGCGAAATTTATTCATTTCTTTTCATTACTTATTACGCATGTCGGGTGCAATTTTCTTTTTTCCCGGTGAAACACATGCCTTATGCATTTGTTAGTTATTACGTATGGAGGCGTTACACTAAATGAGATCACATGCATCTCACTCGACAAGTAAAATGGTTTTACCCCCACAAAAGAAGAAAAGAAAAGAGACAATATGTCAAACTTAAATATAAAATAAGCTCCATAGGGTCCACAATATAAAATTACCGAGATTAGCGTATAACTTACTTTATTGACGTCATCATCCTGACTATCGAAACCTTTTCCATCCACCAAGCATGTCTCCATCCTTTGCATTTAGTCAAAAAGCCTATCATCTAGCCAATTTTATAAATACAAAAAAAAAAAACCACCAGCTTTTACGGAAAAAAAATTTAGGAAAAATTACACAAATAGTCCGTGAACTTTGACTTAACGTGCAATGTGATCCCTGGACTTTTAATTTTTTCAACGTGGTTCATGAACTTTGGGCTAATGTGCAATATAATCCTTGAACTTTCAATTTGTTCAATGTAATTCCTAAATTTTTTGTATATGTTTTATTTAGTCTCTGAACTATATCAAAAATGTTCAATATTGTCTTATAATTAAGGGATTAGATTGAACATATATCAGAATTTTAGAAACTAGATTGAATAAATTATAAAATTCGGGATTATATTATATATTAAGATAAAATTTATAAATTATATTAAATAAATTAAAAGTTCATAAACATGACGCTCGGTCAATTAGTTGAGTCTAATTTTGACTTGAAATTTTTTAATGGGGTTGACTTGAGTCATCCATTGCATCTGCCTACAGTTGCCGGGAAGAACGGACAACGAGATAAAGAACTTCTGGAACACTAGAGTGAAGAGGCTCCAGAGGGCGGATTATCCTGTTTACCTCCGCCGGCCCCGCCGGCCCCCGATCACTGAATCCGGTCCGTCCAACCCCAGCCTCGCCGATGATGATTCCCAGCCTCACCCTTGCTGCTTCTTCGGGGCCTCGTCGTCGCAGCAGTTGAACTGGCCCGGACCCTGTCAGTGCCCACGCCATCAGCTTCATGTGCAGTCGACCATCGTCGAGCTCCGCCGCAATCTGAGCGCGTTTTGCGCTGAGTATCAGCTGCCATCTGGGGCAGCGGCGGCAGATGTGGAACTCCCTTCAATCCAAACGACGCCGCTGGGGGCAATGGTTCAGGGCTCCGGCGGCGGGTGCAGCTTCTTTGCAACGCAGTCCAAGGAGAGGAAGAGTGGCCTGTTGGAGGATTTGTTGGTGGAAGCCGAAACCCTAGCTCTGAAGGAGAAGGAGAAGAAGAAGAACGAGAGTCTGGGCGGCGATGGTGCTGAGACGGCGGCTTCCTCCTCATTCAGTGAGTTACCGCACATATTGCATGCTTGATATTTCTTTTTCATTCTCATTGAAATGGTGGTCTAAATCTCTCTCATTAAGCAATAGGTGTGGAAGTGGAACCAGCCAAGGAGCCGATAGACGAGGTCGAGTGCATGGACGACGACCTGTCAAGTCTCCTCGCTAGCTTCACTTCGACAATGCCATCTCCAGACTGGTGATGGCAGAAGTCTGCACCATGTCGATCGGACAACTATCGCCTGTGGTATGTTGGGCCGCCACATTACCGACATCCTCTCTCTCGGCGCCTGCTGGAGAGCTACCTGCTCGGACCTAAGAAGCAGTAATAAATGGAACAACATTCTAGTATATATATACGTAAGATCACTTGATATAAGACCGTGCTGTGATCTTTACGTAGCTTATGAAAAGGACTTTGTTTAGCTCTGCTCTACTAACTGAGAAATTGAGCGTTAATGTTAACGATATTCCGGTATTATCAACTTCGTTATTCCGCGTCATCCAAGCTTCCTTGATTCTGTAATTCAGATTAATTTCGAAGAACATGGGTTGGCGGGTGACCAAGAAATTACAAGAAAAGTAAAGGACATCTTGTGTAAAACACTTTGCATGATGATCTCGTAAGTTTTGAAGCAATAGTTGGAGGACTTGGAACACACTACAAGCTCTCAAGATAAACTTGTCTACTTTATCAAGAGGTTCGGTTCCAAATACAGCGAAAAATATGAATCAGACGAGTCGGTCTCGAATACAAGAAAACAGCAAACTCATCGGGTTCAATCTTGTGACATTTATCACTGGGGTTTGACTTGAATGATGACCTTTCCCAAGTTAGAGCTGGAGAACACAGACTGCAAGCTCTCCAGGAAGCTCTCGACTCCATGATAGATCCTGTGCTTGGACCTGATCTTGCCCTGCCTCATGTGACCCTCCATCTGCTGCGCGAAGTCCCCGAACCTCGCCAGGTGCGAAGGCGAGCCCACCATGAACCCTTCCATCCTCACCTCCTTCCCCACCATGTTCAGCAGATTCCTGACCCCTTCCCTCTCTGTCCACACCTGCTTTGCATTTAATTCAGATTAGAACTTTCAATTGGGTAGGCAGATCAGGTTTGGATTGTGTCATAAATGGTCAGATCTAAATTGACTTATCAACCTATTGATTGATCCATATCCGACCCATATTACTAAAACACTTTCATATTTAACCCAACCTAGGAAAATTCATACTCAAACTGAAGTGAAAATGTAGAATAAGTGAAAGCGAGAGATAATGAAGAGAGAATCATAAAAGTGGATTGGATCTAAATAAATTATAAATCCATTTATGATCCACTTAACATTCATATTATGTTTAAACACATTTATGATATAACTATTCTATATAATAATTCAATTCATCATATATATTTTAATAAATGGATTTATGACACATTTTGACAGATTTAGAAAAATTTTAGATGGACGATCGACCATGAATTATTAACGAGTTTTGAATGGTTTTTGTCTCAAGAATCTCTTCTGGAAAATGAAAAGGCTGCTGCAGATGATTGGACCGCCACAGCTCTTTCCACTCGACAGACAAAGTGCTGCACCTAGCGCCATCGTGCACGGTTAAGTCATCATCTTTAGCAGGTTGGGTGAGCCACTTCTCAGGTTCCTCTCTCACGTTCTAGTTTCTACAAAGATTCGCCGGAAGTCTGAGCACATTCCGATCGCCGGGATCAAGCTACCCATCTTTCGAAAGCCGAGATGCGTCGAGATAGCTCACCAATCGGCTTGCTTACATTAGTTTAAACACGGATGATGCATGGTTATGGTTCTGTAGATGCTAAATCGTTTCTTAGGAACACGACGATGTTGCATAACGACATTGTGCAATTTGAACATACCTTATTGTACTCGGAAATCATGCCACAGAGCGAGATACGAGCACCTTGATTGACATGGTTCAGCACGGCCTCGAGCATCTTACCACCGACGTTGTCGAGGTACATGTCGATGCCGTCGGGGAAGTATCTACCAGATCCGAAATTCCAAGTAATTAGCTTACACAAGTACAATTGTGCTGATTAAAAGATGAGATTAATGAGTGAGAACATGATTTCATTTGTAATTACTTGCTTAAAGCAGCGTCAAGATCGGTTTCTTTCTTGTAGTTGAATGCTTCATCGTAACCAAATTCCTCCTTCACCAGGGTTACCTATAAAATAAAAATTACAGTATTAATAAGGATATTAAAAAGATATGTGTATACCACCAGCCAAAATTATTTTAGCTATGCTTTGGTACATTGGAAATTAAAAATAGAAGACATGTAGCTAGCTTGATCCTCACCGACCATTTTCAATTTTTTTTAATCGACTTTATTTATCATGATTGACAACTCCTCACATTTACCAACTCTCCTTTAGAGATCATTAACCTAAACTAATGCAACTTGCTAACTTTTCTTTCCATTAAATTACGCATAATAGTAGACTACTAACTATTATTCAAGTTATTTTTTAACTATGCCTTAAATTTGCCAACTATTATATGAAATTGCTATCTTTAGTTTTACTGATTTATTGACTTTTCTCCAAATAAGTTGTTGGCTAGGTCTGAGTTACCCACCCCGTTTGAATTAGTTGGCGACATTTGTTTAGTTCTTTTTTAATTTACAAACATTTCTAAAGAGTTGATATTTCAATTCGGAAAAGCATTGGTAATTCATTCAAATAAAGATCGAGAAATTCACAGAGGAGTTAGTAAACATAAAGGATTGGTAAGAAAGACATATACAAATAGGTAACAAATGAAAAATGATTATTTTGCAAACCGTCAAAAAGAGTTGGTTGGCATTTTGGTGAAACTCAGATAATCGAATAAAAAATTTTACCACCAAATTTTTCGATATCACCAACATTAATTTTTAGAAATCTACCAACTCGCAAAGAAAATCCGTTTTTTTTTTTAACAAAGTAGCAAATTTCATTGCATAAAGCACATGAATTATGCAGATAATTAGGTCTTTATACTCACACTAATAGGATTCATCAGCAAGCGTTACCTTTTCATCAGATCCAGTGCTCCCTACTACTCTACACCCTCTGAGCTTGGCCAACTGCCCCGCGTACATCCCCACGCCGCCGGCCGCGGCGGAGATGAACACGTTCGACCCCGCCTTCGGCTCTCCTAGCACCTCTATCCCCAGCCATGCTGCGAACCCGGGTATCCCTGCAACAATGACGAAGGCGAAATCAATTGTTCGTTCAGACATACACGGCGGCAGCGGAAGTTCTCAGCTTGTTCTGTTATAAACATTGACAGAATAAGCTTCGGCGAGCGCCCTTGTGTTTCATTAACAACGATGAACAAGAACAGCATTCTCATTTCGTTTTACATAACTACACGAAGGAAAACTTGTAGGCAAAATGAAGAGGCGTGAACGTGAATGAGAGGACAGTATAAACCTAAGCAGCTGAGATAATCTGGCAACTCAACGTCTCCATTAGGCTCGATCTTCCTTATAATGAAGTCAGAAGGCACCACGCAGTACTCTGCCACCGGTAAGAATGGACCAATCACAATCTCTCCCTTGGCATACTTATCGTCCGTTGACTCCACCACTCTTCCAATCCCAAACGCTGTGACCACCTGACACTTCCCAAAGACATAAGCGCATATCTTCACAGATATCTGGTTATTAACCTACTGCTGTTTGGTCATTTTTGTATAAATACGGTACGTATAACTCTAAATGATTCAGCTTATAGAGAACCTGGTTGAGATCGAATTGAGGGGAGTAGAGGCCGTCTTCGCGGCCGGTCATCCGGGAGCGCAGGAAGGGATCGACGGAGACGAAGAGCATCTCGACGGCGACAAAGCGGTCGGGGATCGAGCCGGCGGCGACCGGGATTTTCGCGGCACGCAGTTGCAGGTGATCGGAAGTCGGGATTCCTTCCGGTGCGTACGCTGATATGTGCCACTCTTTGCTCTCCATGGTCATCTTCGCTGTGTTCCTTTCCTCCGAACCGCTGCTCATATGGAGCTTTCTACTTCCTCACGCTCTCACACCTTGCTGGGAGTGGAAGTGACTCTAAGCTCGGTCAGTCCCAACCTCTCTCTCTCTCTCTCTCTCTCTCTCTCTCTAACACGCAAGCACTATGTGTCGCTTGAATTTGAGAAATTAGTCGACTACCAGCTAATGATGCAGACAACCTCTGGAAAAGCAAAGTCTCATCTCCATCGAGGAAAGAAAGCAACATTTGTCGGCTATTGCATTGCTTTGTATACAGCACTTGCACAGTTAGTTCACTCGTAAATACTTTGACGGGCCACTTTCGAAAGCATACGATTCTTTTGCACTCATATATGCATAACCACGTATTCATTCATCCAAATACGTACACAGCATGCTGCATTCATCAAATCGGTGTACCTGATATTTTATGTGGCCGCGCGCATACGATGGAGGTCGCCTCCAGGATCCCACCGACCAGGACCTCGAGTGACTTCGAGTTACATGAATCGGCGTCGATGAAGAAGCAAGCGGTATAATGAAATGAAGCAACACGTAACTCCCGCGATTTATACGTCGAACTTGGGAGAGTTCGCGAAGCTGGTGCTTAAGAAGAACTGGACGTTGGATCAAATGGCGACGGTCCGGATTATCTACACTTTCGAGGGCTAAGACTTTGCGACCGTCCGATCGCCAAAAGAGCACGCTGAGAAGAGAAGCTAGAAAAATTAGGTAGAGCAGAGAAGCTAGAAAAATTAGGCCACACCTATTGGAGAGGATGACGCATCGAGCAGAGTAGGCATGTAACACAATTCGTTGAAACTTGGGGTCAAAAATAAAAAGTGGTAGGACCAAACTTAGGACAGATCAACTACTATCATGACTATGATCGACGACTTCTTCAGGACGCCAGGACTGTTCTGTCGGTAGACATGATGATGCAACCCCGCACGGCGACAGCTTGCACGCACTGAAGCCCCAGTGCAATCATCATGGACGAGAGAAACGGGACGCTTTTCGTTCATTTTGCTGTGCTCACTCACGAGGGATAGAGAGAATTCAAAGGCAAAGACTCATCAGTTGAGTTGCGAGAAACACATGAAGTGCGAATGAAGATGAGGATCTCTGAAGAGACGTCATTTGAATGGAGAGGGGGATTATACACGAAAGACTGTCATCGTCACTGTGTACCGGACTTGCCTATAAGAACGAATGCGACAAAGGTGTAGTCGTCTTCAGGCCATTCTGTCATTTTCGTCCTTACGGTGGAACGCAACATCGGACCCCCGTGACGACCGACGCTCGCTGTTTAGTGCTCAAAGGGGGGACCCGGCTATATGCATTGGTCCAACATCAACCCCACCAAACCATGCTTTGACATGAACGGCGTTGAGACTAGCGATTCCATGGCATCCACCCTGCTACTTCCTTCTTCTTTTTTTCTACTACTTCCTTCGAGATGATGGGGAGTGTGTTACTTTTTGAATTACACCATTATATATGGTCTCTTACTTCCCCGCAAATAATTTCAGGTATAGGTGATTTGGCGTAAACGGGCAATCAAAGATATGATGGATTTACGAATTGCCTCTTTTTGTTGTCCCCACCAAATCATGTAGAGTTGTGAAACAGGTCCAGTTCTATTCTGAAACTGGACCGGACAGCCCATAAAAACATGTACAGTTCTCAGTTCCAAACTTTTGGTATCGATAATGTGTGGGTAAGTTCCAAATTCTCGGTGTTGAACCCACCAGCCCACTCGTGGACTAGTTAGAACTGATTTTCGAAGTTGGAAAAAGATTTATTATTCCTAAATGAGCTTAAATTTCCTATTGCTTTATAATTCTATTTGTTTTATATCGATGTTTTACATTGAGCCATTTTGTTTTTTTTTTTTTGTAAGGGCCGTTGAGCCATTTTGTTGCTCATACTATTTTGCTATAATTGCTATTTGTTTTGATTTCTTTAAAAAATAAAACAAAAGAAAAAAGACACCTATTTCCGAATAGACCCTGAAAACCTAACTAGACAAATAGGTTAATTTCCAATGTCTGTTTCGAGTTCCAAATAGTGGGAGCCGGTTCTAGCAAGGTAGGTTCATATTCCACATCCGAAACCTACCCACCCAGGAATCAATCATCCCTACAATCATGAACAATGCTGTCGCACAATAACAACAGAGAGGAAGCTAAGGGCCTGTTTGGCAATTTGTTAAATAATGAAAATTTATGTTGTTTTATTCCCAAAATCAGTTTGGGAACAGAAATCCGTTTGTTAAATTTTTTGTGCCCGGACACAATTTTTGCAAAAAATTGTTCCCAGAATCAGTTTTAGAACAGAATCAAGAAACAAAAAAAAGTAATTTCTTGATTCTGGAACAATTTTTCCATTTCTAATTCTTCTTGATTTTCTTCTTTTTTCTTGATTTGTTCTTCTTCTTCCCGGCCTGCTGCCCGCCCGCCCGCCTCCGGCCGCTGCCACCGGCCACAGGCCAGGGTCGGCGAGGGCGTCGTGACTCTCGCCAGTGGCGAGAGTCGCGACGAGGGTCCCCCTTGCTGCCTGGGCAAGCGCAGCTCGCGGCTGCGACAACGAGGCTTGACCTCGCCCAGATCTGGCGAGGCCGACCTTGCCGTCGCCAGATCTGGGCGAGGTCGAGCCTCGCCCAACCAAGGCGAGGCCGACCTCGCCGTCGTAACCGACGTGGTCGACGGCGAGGGCCGCGATGCCCTCACCGGCCCTAGCTTGTGGCCGGTCATCGGCGCCGGCAACTGGCCATGGCCAAGAAAAAAAAGAGAAAGAAATATAAAAAAAATCAAAATATTATTAATAAAAAAAAAATTGTGTAGTTACCAAACGCATTTCTGTTCTTTTTCTATTCTTAGAATAGAAATTTTGTGTAATTACCAAACGTTTTCAAATGCTTAAAAATTTTTCCTGGGTACGAAATCAAAAATAATTATTTCTGAACAAAATCTGTTCCCACACACAGAATGATTGCGATGCAATGCGCAACCTAACTCGTCTGCCTTTCCACATCTTGCTCATGTTTCAGGATTCAGTGTAGGAAAAACATTTCCCACATAGAAGGCAAATTCTAACTTAACCAGTAGCGGAGTTAAATGGGAAAGTCCAACGCGTCAAGATTGACACCAAAAACAATAATAATTCTAGGGTTGGTGAGTAAGTTTACCAAATCAGCTTTCTCAATCACATGACAAACATCTAACGCAAATATATTTAAACAACTCATTCAAAATTCGCCACGTCGTATTATAAATAAAGTTGGTGTTCTAGCTATCCGTTCATTATTCAAATGGCAATCATCTCAAGCAAACTTCTGCACATTTAAAAGAGAGAGAGAGAGAGAGGGACAAAATTATCCAAGTCTCGTAGATGCCACTGACCAGAATGTAAAATTATAGGAACATCAAGTAAAAGAGGGAGACAATCAAAGATAAGGGGATGCAAAAGAATTTACATTTGAAGCTGGCACTTCTTCCCATATAAACAATGCAAAGCTTTTCATCGAAGGTTTAACTAAGTGACGCTTCAGAGAGAACCAAAAGTATTCTCGCCGCTGTAGGTCATGTAGAGAAAGCCATCTTCATCCTTGTTTTCCTCATAAATTGCAGACATCATAGCAGCTACGACAACACAGAGACATCGCAAATCAGTAAAGTCAGTAGTCCATGACGACTGTAGGACCCTAATTAAAGATCTTTTCTCACCAGTGGGTGGCAAAATGTTCTTAACAAAGACGAAAATAGCTTTCTCTGGACTTAGCTTGATCCTCTTTCGAACGACGTACACAAACTGGCCAACAGTAAGGTCAGCAGGAACCAGATACCTGAATTTGGCACGACAAAAGATCAGACCTAAACAACAATCATGAAGAATACCATTTCATGGATGAGTGCAAACTGCAAAACATACTCAGAGTGAACGTACACGTGATAAAGCCTTATGCAAGCCTTCAACTAAATAAATGACCTTTGAAAGATGAAAGATCCATTACATGCATTGTGATTTAGAATTTTCACTCAGGTTTCCTTACTCAGTAGGCCAAATTAGTCAAATAACTCTCCTTGCCTTCCATAATACAGGCGCAGCATTTTAACAGTGAGAACTACCACAATCTAGACATCTTTCTTTCCTACGTTTTAGCAGAGCAACTGATCAACAAAACCTTCAAATTGCTGAAGTCACAAATCTATCCAAGGGAAAAATGCTCATCACTGGATGGATTAGTATTCACAAGAAACAACGGCCAATGAATGAATTTAAACATGAAAAGTTACAAAATTTTCAATGATGGAAACTGACTTTTTCTTATCAATGTCGGGTACCTCAGTCTTCTCAGCCCTCTCGACAATCACCTGCACCGCACATTTCAGAGAGTTGCAATTGAGAACCAAGGGGAAGGACACAAAAATGAGCAGGACAAATTTTCGACCATACCGGAATTCTATCGGGATACTTCTCCCTGATCCGTGCAGATTCCGCTTGTCTCCTCTCTGTCACATACGCGCAAGGTCAGAAGGTGTGAGAAGAACAAGTGCAGAAAAAAGTAAAAACCGAGCAACTTCTTTCCACAAGCTAAACAAGCATAAAACATCAGGAAACGAAGCATGATCAAAACAATTACATTCACAACGCCACCACTAGACACAGTCTCAACGAAAAAAAATCAAAACCCAACCAAAGTAAATCCCGAGGAAAAGGGGGCGCAAAATAATTTTGCATTTCATGACAATCAGCCATACAAAGAGAGACTGAATTTCACTCAAACCAGTTGACAAACATCAAGATGCTACAACTTCTCCACCACTCATAATCTGTAACCCCATCGTCAACTTTCACCTCTTTTCCCTTCTCCAAGCAAGGACCCCAAGAATTTCAATTCAAGTAAATTCCTCCTCTTTTCTCCGTCTCCAGATTATTAGAGTAGAACCGGTCGAATCATACATCGCGCAAAAAGACAGATCTCTCCGTCAAGCAACAACAAAACCAGACAAATCCGACCAAGCACAGCCATAGCCCTAAGGATCCGTTCCTTCTCTACGCAGATCCGAATCCCCAAAAGCAAAGAAAAACCAAAGCCCTCGTCCAATCACATCTCGTCTCGTACCAAAAAGCAAAGAATCAACAAAATCGGACAAACCCAAAATCCATCAATATCGTCCGCACACCGATCCGCCCTACAGCGGACGATCGAGACGGGTCCGCATCGATTCCGATCGGGAATTCCCACGAAGATCGCTCCCGACGATCGCGAAAAGAAGCAACACGCGCACGCACGGACACGAAGAGGGACGAGCGATCGAGCGGAGATCGGAGGGGAGGAGGACTGACCGAGGGGATGCTCCATCTTGAACGAGCTTCTGGCCATGGCGAAAACCCTCCGAACGAAGGAGAAAAATCTCGAAACGATCGACGAAGCAGCAGGACTTTCTAGGGTTTTTTTTTTTTTTTCCTTGGCTTGTCGGCTGCGAGGCGATCCAGAGGGAGATATAGAAATAAGGAGAGAGAGAGAGAGAGATGAAGGAAAGGACGGATTGGGCTCCACGCAAGCGGAGGCGTAAATCTGTACGATAGGCAGTCCCGCACTCAATATTTTCTTTCTCTCTCTTTTCTTTTTCTTTTTTCTCTCCCTTTTCTTGTTCGATAAATTTGGGGACATTTTCATACCGATCCTTGGCCTCATCCGTAACAACGGGGAATTAACGATGAATTCTCTTTTGAACTCAAATACATTCGAAATTGAAGATACGGGGCAACTTCCCAACTCACCTGCCTTTGCATATCTTGCTCGTGTTTCAAGATTCGGGTTAGGAAAAAACAATCCATCGCATAGAAGGCATGTTCTTACTTAAACAGTAGCGCGGTTATATGGATAAATCCGATGAGTCGAGATTGGCACTAAAAACAAGAGTAATTATAGGGTTAATAATTAAGTTTATCAAATCAGCTTTCTCAATGACATGACGAGCATCAAATGTGAATATACTTAAACAACTCATTGAAAGCTTTTTTATTTTTTGGGGTCGAAACTCATTCAGAGTTTGCCACGTAGTTTGATAAAAAAAAATTTGTGTTCTAACAATCCTTTTATTATTCAAATGACAATCATCTCAAACCTCTGCACATTTAGAAGAGAGAGTTGGTGGGGGGGCGGACAAAATTATCCAAGTCCCATTGATGCCATTGACCAGAATGTAATATTAAAGGTATATCAAGTAAAAGAGTGAGACATTAAAGATAAGGGGATGCAAAGAATTTACATTTGAAGCCGGCACTTCTTCCCATATATACTAATGCAAAGCATTTCATCAAAAGCTTAACTAAGTAATGCTTCAGAGAGAAGCAAAAGCTTTTCACAAAATAAAACCAGAGAAGGAAGCTTCGAGCTTTCCCAATGCGCCTGCCTTTCTTATCTTGCTTGTGTTTCAAGATTCGGGTAGGAAAAACCGTCCACCAAATAGAAAGCACACTCTAACTTAAACAGTAGCATAGTTAGGCCCCGTTTGGTTTAGCTTTTCCAAGGGGTTTTGAGCCCCTAAAACCCCTTGAGAAAAATATAAGGTATTTGGCAAGCATTTTTGGGACCCCATTAGCCAAATGCTAGCATTGAAAACGCCGAAAGCCCAAAGCACATCTCTACTTGCTTTGGGCTTTTCGCATTCTCGGAATGCTACAGTAGCGATTTAACGAATTTTTTTTCTGTCCAATATTGTCTTCACTGATAATTATGTATGTCACTTTTGCCCTAAAAAAACATTGTTCATCTTCTTCCTCAAGCTCGTTGTCGCACATGCCGTCGAGCCGCTATCTTCACTGGAGGCGCTATCTTCGACGGAGCTGCTGTGGGTCAAGGTCAAGATGGAGGGTCAAGTGACCCAGATCTGGCCGACGCGAGGGAGACCGGATCTAGCCGACCACGTTCGTGCGACCTCGCATCGCACATCCTTAGCGACCCCAAGCGACGGCGGTCCTCGGTGACCCCAGGCGACGGCCGCTTGAGGTCGCACGACCGCCCGAGTGCCATCGGCCTAGGTCGCGCGACCGCCCACCAGGTGCCGTCGACCTAGGTCGCGCGGCCTCAGGCAACGACGGCCTGGGTCGAGCGACCACCAACGAGGGCCGCCTTGGTCATGCGACCCTCACCGGGGGTCGCCCGACCTCAAGCAACGAACGCCGGCGCCAAATCTGGCTCGCCGACGATCGCCCGACCTCGGGCAATGGCTGCCGGTGCCAAATCTAGCTCGCCGACGGCAGTAGCCCTTCGCCGGTTCCGGCAAAGGGTAACCCTTTTTTCTTTAATGAAAAAGAAAATCCTAAAGCCCTTTACAAAAAAAAAAATAGCCAAATACTATTTGGACCAAAATAGCTTCACAAAGAATTTTTTATCAAACGCCATTTGCATTTCCCCAAGGAGTTTTAACCTAAAGGTATTTGCATTCTCGCAAGGCTCATTTATAAAATTAAACCAAATGGGCCCTTATATGGATAAGTCGATATTGACACTTAAAACGAGAGTAATTTTAGGGTTAGTGACTAGGTTTACCAAATCAGCTTTCTCAATGACATGTCAAACATTGAATGCGAACATACTTAAACAACTCCTTCAGAGTTTGCCATGTAGTTTATAAAAAAAATTTGTGTCCTAGCGATCTTTTCATTATTCAAATGACAATCGGCTCAACCAAACCCCTGCACACTTAGATAAAATGATCCAAGTCTAATAGATGCCATTGACCAAAATGTAAAATTAAAGGAACATTAAGTAAAAGAGTGAGACACCAAAGATAACGGGATGCAAAGAATTTACATTTGAAGCCGGCACTTCTTCCCATATATACAATGCAAAGCTTTTCATCAAAGGCTTAACTAATTGATACTTCGGAGAGAACCAAAAGCTTTTCACACAATAAAAGCAGTGAAGGAAGCTTTGAGTTTCTCAAGTTTTGGGTGCATTTGGTTTAGCTTTTGGAGAAAGGCTTTTGAAAAATGCACGGGCCTTTAATCTCCATTTGTTTCGCGAAAAATATGATATTCCTGGAAAATGTTATCCAAGAAACAATATTTTTCGGTGTTAAGCTAAAACTTGAAAATGAACTAGGATATATTTTCCATCGTTTGGTACGAAAATTCGATTAATATACACTATCTTCAATCCCAGTACAAATACGTATTGATATGCCCTCTCTATATATGCCAATACTCCTACAAATTAAAGGAGTGAGCCAAAAACCATTAAATGAAATATCTATGTAAGGTAAGAGATCATCTTTATCTATTCCAAAGTCATATTGTTTGATTGTTGTCTAAGATAGAAAAAGGGTGGATATAATAAAGTAATCCCATATGAGGTAGGTTGATAAAAATATATCTCACCCTCAACTCTCGTCCATGTCCTCGCCACCACCGTTAACCCAAGCCTCCCACCTAGCTTTATCTCTTTGCCACCGACGAGGCTCGTTGTGGTGACGAGCTAGACTTGATCTGCGCCATAGAGGAGCTCTAGGGCAAAATCTAGAGCTCCTCCATGAATGAGCTCCACTCGACCTTAGCCACGAAGGAGCTCCATGGCCAAATCTGGAGCACCAGCCGTCGTCCCCCTCCATGGCAAGTTTTGGAGCAATAGCCATCGTCTTCCTTTGTCTCGTGCATCTTTGTAGCACGAGCAATCGCACCTTCATCCGCTTCACAATTGTGGCTCTGACCTTGGTGTCAGCCGCAAGGGTCGGGGTGGAGACCGGACCGGTGGTTATTGAAGATTGCAAGACGGCGATGAAGATGGAGGAGGTATTGGTTGTTGCTGAAGATTTGCACAATGGTGATGCCAAGGTAGCTTGGACATCCACGAGAGCTCAGGGATCTGAATGCTCAACATTTAATTCGGCATGAGCAGAGAGGAGGAGGTAGAGGACGACAAGGAGAGTGAGGTGGGAGCGAGTCATTCGGCGTTCTATTCGGCTTGGATATCCATATATTTACCAAATACTAAATAAGATATTAGAAATCCCGTCTTTATGTAATTACACTTAAATCTTATTGGACCTTATCTTATCAAGTGCCTTAAAAGCACTATTTACCAAAATCCTTATAATTTAGCATTCTCCAATCGTCATTGAAATCAAAATAACTTCTCAATTCACTTTTCGATTACAATTTACGAAACCACTGCAGGGTAAGCAACCACGCATCGATTCATCCCTGCCGGCACCAATACCAGGTAACAGAAACAAGGGGATGGTGGAAACCAAGAGCACTCGGGGTCCCGAGTTCAAATCGCAGCCAAATCAAATTACCGGCAGCTGCGATATTTGCTGGATTTGCTGGTGCTCCTGAGCACAATCGACAAGAGTTGCTCCCAGGCGGGATGCAGCAGGGTATCTGAACCAGATTGAAGAGCTTCTGAGCCTGTCAATAATCAATTGAAAGCGAACGTACTCACGGATCGTCAGCCAAAAAATTGCCAATCAATAACAAGCCAAAACGCTTTGAATCGGCACAAAAAGCCACAAATGGAGGCCGTTATTCGATTTCTTTTTTTTTTTTTCTGTTCAAGAGAGGAGTACATCTACCGATAATTCATCGCTCTACAACAAGGCGAATCTAAACGAAAAAGAAAAAAGAGAAGCTGATCTGTGCTGTTCAATGAGCGGCGACGCCATCGCCGCCGCCGCCGAAAAAATCAACCCCCGGATCCGGCTCGCTCCGAGCGGGGCTCCCGGGGCCGGATCCGACGAACCAAACGCACTCGGCGGCCACGAGCCTCTTCCTCTGCGGGCAGCGCGGCCCGTAGACCCTCCCGGCGAAGCAGGGCGGGCCGTCGGCAGCGGCGGCGGCAGGGGGCCGGCCGTCCTGGCCCGGCTGCGCCGGCGTCGGGGGCGGGGGCGGATCTGGACGAGGGAGTGGGCGCGGTGGAGGAGGCGGGCGCTGCTGATGCGGGAGTCCCGGAGCTGAGCGAGGGCGCCGGGCTTCAGGTACTTGAGGTGGTGGGGCTCGGATCTGCGGCCGACGAGCCTGCGCGTCCTGCGATTCATGGCGTCTAGAGAGAGAGAGAGAGGCGGAGGGGGGGAGCAGGGGTAGAGAGAGAGAGAGAGAGGCGGAGGTTAGGGTTAAAAAGGAGAGGGGGGGGGAGGGGCGGGAAAGAGAGAGGGGGGAGGAGGCCTTTTTGGTTTTCGAAAGGGGGGGGGGGGCGAAGCGCGGGAGGTTTTGTTTTGTGGGAGTTTTTTGTTCTTTGACCTTTCTTCGGGAGTCCTGACGCTCCCGACGTCCTAGAGGTCTGTGGGGGCGCCGCGTGTCACTTGGGGGGGGGGGGGGTTGTATTTGATTACCTGCTAAAGATTACCTAATTCTATTATTTTGTTCCTCGAAATAAAAAAAAGAACGAAAATTTATTTGGTAAATTTTTTTATTTCCGGGGCACAAATTTATTCCTAAAATCAGTTTTAGAATATAATCAAGAATAAAAAAAAATTTTGATTCTTGATTCTGGGAACAAGAATTAGAAATGGAAAGGAATTTTTTTTTTCTTCTTCTTCTTGATTGGTCTTCTTCATTTTTCATGGCCTGTGGCCGGTCGTCCGCCGCCGGCCATAGGCCAGGGCCATGGCCGGTGAGGGTTGGACCCTTGCCGCCTAGGCCTCGCTAGATTCAGCGAGGGCAGCAACGAGGGCCACGACGCCCTTGTTGGCCCTGGCCATGGCCCAAGGAAGGGGAAAAAGATAAAAAGGAAAAAAGAAAGAAATAAATAAATATTAAAAAATTCAAAATATTATTAATAAAAAAATTTGTGCTGTTAACAAACGCATTTCTATTCTTTTTTCTGTTCTAGGAATAGAAATTTTGGACAGTTACCAAACGCTTTCAAATGCTTAGAAATTGTTTCTGGGAATAGAATAAAAAAATTTATTTCTGAGCAAAAATTATTTCCGAGAACAGAATGGTTACTAAACGCATCGTTGATGAAAGGAGATAAGCTATTCTCTTTTTTTGGGGCAAATCTCGCTTTGCTCCCCTGAACTATCACCATCTTTACATGTTGAACCCGAAATGTTTTAGGTATTTCGCTTTACTTCCCTAAACTCTCGAACTCTTCCGCTTGAAGGAACCCCCAATTAGGGGTGTGCAATGGGATCTAACCGAACTGGGAATTGCCTAGACCGGCATGTTCTAGGCGGTTTCCAAGATTGCTGGTCCGGTTCCCGGTTTCAGGGTAGGAATTAGACCAATAGGACTGCCTGGATCGGATCAATTTATATATAGTTTTATTATTTTAATAATTCTTAAAGTGTAAACCTAATTTACAAATGCTCGGCCCCTATCCTATCTTCATTTCAGCTTATGCGATTTCAGTTTCACGACACGGCCTCGCTCTTCACTGTCTTCAGTCGTTCCCTCTTGGCTTCCAATCACGCCTCGCCGCATCTGCCTCTTTCCCTCTCGTCCCTCTCGATCGACCCTTAGACGGTGGCGCATCCTTTTCACTCGAGCTCGACGCGTCCCTCTCGCGGTCTCATCTCAGCTCTCGTTTCCTCTTTTGCATCAAGGTAATGCTATGTTTTTTGCATTGCATTTTCCGTGTCTCGCCTTTCATTTCCACGGGACCTGTCGGATCTACGACTAGCCGTGTGCTGCGTAGGCGAAAGTCTCTGAATCGTCCAATCTCTTCAACATGTATTACGATAGAAGAAACAATATTGCTGGATTTGTGTGGTTTGGGGTTTGATTTCAGTGATTTTCCCCGTGACTCAGTCTTTTCAAGCCGATTTCCGATTGAAAAATGGGAATAAAATTAGGGCTTGCATTTGATTTGGGGAGGATCGTGCTTGGGAACTCGAGCGTGGGTGTCTAACGCTCTTCCTAAATGCCCATGATGGGGAAAATTACAAAAAAAGTCCTAAACCTTTTGCAATTGTGCCAATTCAGTCCTAAACCTTTTTTTGGCCAATTCAGTCCTAAAACTTTTGCAATTGTGCTAATTTAGTCCATCCGGCCACTTTTGGCCAGTCGGCGCTGACGTGGCCGGCTGACGTGGCGCCGGCCGGCGTCCACGTGGCAATTTTAAATAATTTGTTTATTATTTTTCGAATTTTTTTTATTTTTTTCTCTTTCTTTTTTTTTTCGCCTGTTTTCTTCCCCGGTCGCCGGTCCGGCGAGAGGCTGAGGCCGGCGAGGTGGACCTCACCCAGCGACGGTGAGGCCTCGCCAGATCTGGGCGAGGCTGACCTCGCCATGACCGGGCGACGCCTCGCCCGGCGACGGCGAGGCCGCCCAGATCTGGCGAGACCTCGCCGTTGCCGGGCGAGGTCGGTCTAGCCGTCGCCGGGCGAGGTCGGTCTCGCCGTCGCCGGGCGAGGTCGACCTCGCCATAGCCAGGGCGAGGTCGGTCTCGCCGTCGCCGGGTAAGGCCTCGCCCGGATCCGGCGAGGTCGACCTCGCCCGCATCTAGGCGAGGCCTTGCCATCGCCGGCTAGGGTCGACCTCGCCATGGCCGGGCGAGGTCGACCTCGCCATGGCCGGGCGAGGTCGACCTCGCCCGGCGACGGCGAGGCCGACCTTGCCATGACCGGCGAGGCCTCGCCGGCGACGGCGAGGCCGCCCAGATCCGGGCGAGACCTCGCCGCGCCGGCCGGCCTCGCCGTCGTCGGGCCAGCCTCACCGTCGCCGAGCGAGGCCTTGCCCAGATCTGGCGTGGGCGGCCTCGCCAGTGCCGGCAAGGTCCACCTCGCCCGGCGACGGCGAGGGCCAACCTCGCCCATGGCCGGCGAGGTGGACCTCGCCGGCCTCAGCCTCTCGCCGGTCGCCGGACCGGAGATCAGGAAAGAAGATAGGCAAAAAAAAAAGAAAGAGAAAAAAAAATTCGAAAAATAATAAAAAAAATTATTAAAAATTACCACGTGGACGCCGGCCGGTGCTACATTAGCCGACCGACGGCCACATCAGCGCTGGTCGGCAAAAAGTGGCCGGATGGACTAAATTGGCACAATTGCAAAAGGTTTAGGACTGAATTGACAAAAAAAAAAGGTTTAGGACTGAATTGGCACAATTGCAAAAGGTTTAGGACTTTTTTGGTAATTTTCCCCCCATGATGCTTCATTGCACTTGAATGATGCTTCATTCAAGGTTATGTGATGATTTGGTGTTATGCCCATGATGGTGTTGTTTTTTTTAAGTTCTATTTCAGTAGTTTATGTATGAAGGCTTCGTAAATGTAGAACGATTGAAATGGAATGTTACAATTTAGACGGAGTTTATAAGAAAATGAGGTAACCGGTGACGGGAGTGGCTGATAGGTAAAGTATGGCTATAGAACGCGATTGGGATGAAGCTTACGATAAAATGGAATGTCGCTCTTCCTATCAAATTTTGCAATTAGGTATTATATGCCTTTGAATGACCAATTCCACTGAACCGTTAGGATACCGAACCAGACTGGTCCGATCTCAGAGTTTGGCGGTCTTGTCCACGGTTCTGAAAATTGGAAACTAGTTCCTCTGATTCGATTTCCTATTTTTAGGTGGGATCGAATTATATCGAGAACCGATTGCCCTTACCTCATTTACGAAAGCCTTTCAATTTGCCCACCTAAATGTGTAGTGCGCGTGATTCTCAAGCTGCAATCAAAAGAATTACACCCAAAAAGCATCTCTGTCCATCGAAAAAGAACGCCATGTATTGTAGCGGCTTTTTTCAGTTTAAAAGTTCATTACATTTTTTTACGAAAAGAATTGACGGTGTCCGATCACATAAATAATTTTCAAGTTTGAAAAAATAAAATTATAGCTTTAAATTTAAGTCTTCATTTTTTCGTAGAAAATGAATAATTTATGATAGTTTGTATTACTTATAAAATAAATAAATGAAAAATATTTTCTTTATCCACGAAAAAATATTTAAAATTTAATTATTATTAATAATAAAAATAATTTTCACCAACTAATTATTTCAAGCAACACAAAATATCATTTTTAGGAAGATATTTTTTAAATTATATATTTTTTGCGAAACAAACGAATCCTAAACTACGAAACGTGAGAAGGTGAAAGTTGGGGGATAAAGTAAAGGGTTTAAAATTCAGAATTTAACATGTGGGAGGCAGGGTTGAACGGTTTCAGGTTCTACCTGGAATCTACCCTCGGTTATAGTTTCCTCATTTTTTGGAACTTGAAACCTACTTGTCGGAACTTGGAACCCAGAATCTACCCTGTCATAGGTTTCAGGGTCGGTTCCATGGTCCAATAGGTTCTTTTTTTTATTATTTATTTTTAGTCAAACAAAATGAAAATGAAAGCAACAATATCGAACGAGCTTATTATTCATCAAAGAAAATACAAAAGACTAGTTTTCCTAACATTATGGTTCAAATAAATACAATTAAAATGAGAAGTCATTGTGTGAATCGATGCGCAATAGAATTCACTAGGGATTAGCACGTCGATCAAGAAAATATCCATATCCAGAACCACAAAAAAAATGGGAAGTAGGATAAAGGAAAGAAAGATGAGCTTTTGATCCTCAAACATCCATGAAAATTTATTCCAAATTCTGACCACCTAAAATCAAAAGAAATAACAATCATAGTTGATAACTTGATAATAGTTTTAAATTTAAAATTGAAGTGTTGCTTATCGATTATTTGCAATTGCAACAATAACTTTTTTTTTTTCTCATTCCATCATCTATTATCACCATGGTTCTAACTATGCAACCATCAAGCTTAAGATGTTCCGTGAAAGAGTAAATAATGAAAACAATCGACCTCACTGAAGAACGAAAAAAAATAACAAGTTAAGTAAAGCAACGAGAATGCGAACGGTGGGTACTCCAGAACCACAATAAATCAAAGGCCTAAACAAACCTTAGGAAATGTTCTACATTACAAGTTAAGCAAAGCAATGAGTACGTGGACGGAGATGAGAATTTGAGAGCTAAGAAGTGAGGAGTGAAGAGTAGTAAGAAAATTAGGGATTTTAGATTTAGAGTTCCTGGTTCCCGGTTCCATTCCCGGTTCCCGGTTCTGATTCCCATAGGAATCGGGAACCAAATCGGAATCGACGATTCCTAAAAACATAGAATCGGGAACCATAACCTCTCTCCGTAAAATCAAGAATCTTATCAGTCTGATTCATCCCTAGTGGGAGGGTGAGTTTTGGAGGGCTTATTCTGAAAGGACCGAGAGGCTCGTAGGGGGGGGGGGGGGAAAACGAAATTTTCACAAAAATTCAATAATATCAACTTTTTTCGTTTTCATTATTATTATTATCTTTTTCTTCCCCCTCAATCATGCCATTCCGCCATTATTCTTCTGCAGCTTCTCTCTCTACTTCCGCTTCTCGTCACGTCGTGCTTCATTGGTCAAGGGAGACCTTTGGACGCACAGCAATGGCCGAGCATATGCCAAACTCTTCCCGAGCCTAAGCCGCGGCACTGTTCCTCGGACGACAGAGCTTCGTGTTTCACGTGGGGCTGCCCCTTCGCATCTTCCTACCAACTTTCCCCCAAAAGAAGTTCGTCGGACTTCGACCGGTCTCTTTCCACCCCCATTGGAAGCTTCGCGTTCAAACCAAGCCTTGCTGGAGCTCCAGTGTCGCTGCTGCCGCCGCCCCCCTGCCGGAAATGAGGCGCCGCCGCGCCGTGGTGCTGCTTCCCCTGCTCTTGGCCCTTTTCCTGGTCGGACCCCGCCGAGTCCGCTGCGGCGGGGGGCCGGGCGGGGAGCCGCCGCCGCCGCCGGCGGTGGTCCGGGTGGGTGCCATCTTCACGCACGACTCGGTCGTCGGGAGGTCCGCGAAGGCCGCGATGGAGGCCGCCGTCGCCGACGTGAACGCCGATCCGTCGGTTCTGAACGGCACGGAGCTGAGGTTGTTCACGGAAGACGCCAATTGCAGCGTCTTCATGGGGACCGTCGAAAGTGAGTTCGAATGTTTTGCCCCCTTTTCGCGTCCAGGAAAAAAGCTTGAAACTTTTCTTTCTCGTTGTTCTTGCGGTTATGTGCATTGTAGTGGAAGGGGTTCTCTTCCAGGGGTTTATTATTGTTAAACTAGTCGCTTTTGAGGATGATCATTAGCCGAGGTTGACCATGGAAAATCTACTTTCTGGTTACTCCGTTGACCATGCTTCGCATTCTTCTGAATATATTAAGGGCCTTTTTGTTACTTTTCCTTTGCTTTTGAGATCCAATTTTGCTTACTCTGTGATGAACTTTGAATGCTCACTGAACCATTTTAAAGGGAAAAAAAAAATGGAACGAAGGTGCAGTTTAAGAACTCGATACCCAACAGAACGAACACAACTGAGGCGATATGATCGATTTTGATGTTCTCTCTATTTTCATTTTGGCTTGTTCGGGTCATACTGATTTTCTGTTTTGAGTCTCTATAGACAAAAGCAAGCAAGTCAGGCATGGATTTTGCATCATTAAATGGTCTTTCACAAGTGTAGCAGGTTTTTTTATTGTGCTGTTAACTTAGTGCATGGACTTGTTCTTCAGTTTTTCTCTGTTCCAGAAGCTGTAATCTATGCTCTGTTACAAAGATTATAACTTGAAATCAGGTTGTTCTGTATCTGGCAGCCTTTAAACTGATTGGCAAGGACGTGGTGGCTATTATTGGACCACAGTCCTCGGCGACAGCTCACACGATTACCGAGATTGCGGATAATCTCCAAATTCCTCTCATCTCTTATTCTGCCACTGATCCTACACTTTCTGCTCAGCAATTTCCGTATTTCGTCCGTACTGCGCAGAGTGACTCCTACCAAATGGCTGCAATGGCTGATTTGATCAATTATTACGGATGGAAAGATGTCATTGCCATCTATATTGATGATGATTTTGGGAGAAACGGGATATATGCTTTGGGTGATGAACTTGAGAGAAAAATGATGAAGATTTCATATAGGTTGCCTTTGCCTGTCCAGTATGATTCAAGACACATCACAGATGCACTCAATAAATCTAAAAGATTCGGTCCTCGTGTTTATGTTGTTCATGTAAATTTTGATCCTGCTTTCAGAATTTTTACCATAGCGCAAGAACTGCAGATGATGGGAAGTGATTATGTGTGGCTGGCCACGGATTGGGTCTCTGCTACCTTAGATTCATTGTCTCCCAAAAACCAAACATCTATTGAGATTCTGAAAGGGGTAGTTGCGTTACGCCCCCACACTCCAGATTCTGTCCAGAAGAGAGCATTTATTGCTCGATGGAGAGACATGCAGACAAAAGGGTTAACTAGGTCTGGACTAAATACTTATGGTCTTTGTGCGTATGATACAGTATGGGCAGTTGCACATGCAATCAACAGGTACATAAACGAGAATGGAAATATCACATTCCCATTCAGCGACGCCCTCTATGATGAGAAAACAAAAGACATGCGGCTTGGAAAGCTTAAAGTCTTTGATGGCGGATCTCTTCTTCTAAAGAAATTGTTGCAGTTAAATTTCACTGGTTTGACGGGTCAAATTTACTTCAGTCCAGATAGGAATGTTCCCAGTAATGGTTATGATGTCATCAACATAGACCAGAGAGCGATTCGTTTGGTTGGATTTTGGTCTAATAAAACGGGTATTGAAGGAGGTCATAGCAGTTATACCCGCCAAGACCAGAAGCTCCATGATGTGACTTGGCCTAGTGGAAAAACAGAAATACCACGTGGCTGGGTGGTGGCAGACAGTGGGAACCCTCTGAGAATTGGAGTTCCAAACAGATTTAGCTTCACTGAATTTGTCTTGGAGGACCAAATTAGTCATACATTCCAAGGATATTGTGTTGATGTGTTCAATGAAGCAAGGAGTTTTGTGCCATATGAAGTTCCTTTCAGATTTGAGGCTTATGGAGATGGACATTCTAATCCCAGTTATGACGGCCTGATCAAAATGGTAGCAAATAATGTAAGTAAATCATACTCTTGTAGTCTGAAACAGAGAAAGTGATGAACTTATTGCCAAGATGTGAAGCTATTTTGATGTGCATCACATGAGTTGCATTTGTAGGACATGAAGTCATAATGCATGTGCACAAGATGGGCTTGATTCTTCATGCTCAAAGTCTCATAGGATTTCTACTTGTATTTAAACCACAAGAAAAGAAAAAGATCAATAGCAGCTGAGTAAAATTTTCGTTTTGTCGGTAACTTCTAAAGTGAACATACTCGTGATGGTAGCTTTAGGATTGTGTGGTCTTCTTTCTACTGAAGCATGATTAATCCTGGTGACTCCACCTATATCATTCTTGAAGTTTTAATGTTAGGAGTTTGATGCTGCTGTTGGAGACATTGCAATATCGACAAATCGGACAAAAATAGTAGATTTTTCTCAGCCATTTGCTTCAAGTGGTCTTGTCATAGTGGCTTCAATCAACAATTCAAAGTCAAGTGCTTGGGTGTTTCTCCAACCTTTTTCAGCTGAGATGTGGGTTGTTACAGCAGCTTCTTTCGTGATGATTGCTGTAGTCATTTGGATTCTTGAGCATCGAGTGAACAGCGATTTTAGGGGTCCTCCAAAGAGGCAACTTGCAACAATGTTCCTGTGAGCATCCTCTTTGTTTAAGGATTTTCTCTTTGGGTCTATCTTTCTAAGCATGCATTTTCACAATGGAAATTTTTCTATTGCAGGTTTAGCTTTTCAACCATGTTTAAGAAGAACCGTAAGTATATCTTTGTATCTAGAATCATTTTGCTGATCTCTGTTCATGATTAGAATTCTCAATCCCGCAATTTGATCCTTCTTTTTCCAGACTGTGTACAGATTGTCAAAGTAAATTATTTCAACAGAATAGATATTGAAAAACGTTTGCATTAACTGAAGCTGGCTTGTTTATGTTCACGTAACATCTGTTGTGGTCCATAAATATCTATTAAGCTTATTATCTTTACCTAAGCTTTGTCAGATGAGACATCTGTGTCACCCATTAGTCTATGTTATGTTGGATATACAGCATAGTCGTCATGCAAAAGGGATTCATCCCCATGTAAATACTTGGCAACAAAAGAATGCTTAAGTGACGGTAAAAATTGCATTTCAAGGACAACCGCACTGGATAATTGGTCACTTCATATGTCACTGTATTTCTGCATGTTTCTGAGGAAAGGAATGTGCATCAGAATCATATTCAAATAAGAGTGTATGGATGTGTATATCCATAGATACATTGTCACACACCTGTGTACATCAAAAATTCAGTTTTCTTTTTCTTGTAACATCTATATATGATATCCCTAGGATGGAGTATGATTCACTAACATAATTATGCTTCAGTCTGGAAATTATTACATAATTGATGCATCCCCAGGATTTTATATATTTGACTGATTTTAGTTGTGTTGCCTAATATCAGAAGAAGATACTGTAAGCCCATTGGGTCGTATGGTAATGGTAGTGTGGCTTTTTTTACTGATGGTGATCACATCAAGCTACACAGCAAGCCTTTCTTCAATCCTCACAGTTCAACAGCTCTCATCACCCATCACAGGAATTGATAGCTTGATTGCAAGTAATTGGCCTATTGGCTATCAAGTGGGATCATTTGCTCACGGCTATCTAGAGGAGAGTCTTTACGTCTCCCCATCAAGACTGATTCCCCTCGGCTCACCAGAAGAGTATGAAAGGGCACTCCGGCTAGGGCCAAGCAATGGTGGGGTGGCTGCTATTGTTGATGAAGAGCCTTATGTGGACTTATTTTTATCAAAGCATACTCAATTCGGGATTATTGGGCAAGCATTTACCAGTGGCGGCTGGGGATTCGTGAGTAGCATTTTTACATGTATATATGTTTCTGCATTTATGACAGGAACTGCTAAGGAAATCGTTTGGGCATAACACAGTTGCAATAGACGAATTGCAGAAAATCCTCTGCAAAATCAGTTGCCTGGTACATATGCATAGTAGTTGAAAAAGTTTGATAGGCTACCACTGCTTCAAATTATTTATTGCATTAACTTTGAAATGATCATCGGCCCCCAAGTTCCCCCAATGAAAACAGTTGACTAAAAGCTTGATGAGAAAGGTCTTGATTTTATAAATCTACAGTCCCATTCTGGATCCTCAACATTTGGTCCTTGTTGCTAATCTTGCTATCATTTGCCAATTTAATTAGTTCAAATCAGAACTTTTGATGATAATGAAGAATACTGCCTGTGGATATCTGATTTTTAACAATGGCCGTTGTCATTCTCTGATGGATGTCTGTCTACCTTAATTTTCAGGCGTTTCAAAGAGGTTCTCCGCTAGCTGTTGACATATCAACCGCGATATTGAAACTGTCCGAGAGTGGGAAGCTCCAAAAGATTCACGAGAAATGGTTTTGCAAAATGGGTTGTCCCAGTGAAAGGGGACAGGACTCAAAACCTGAACAGCTCCATTTGATCAGCTTCTGGGGCCTCTATCTTCTATGTGGTGTCGTTTCTATTGCAGCCCTTCTGGTGTTTCTGATCCGGATGATTTGCTTGTTCGTCCGGTTCAAGAAGCAGCAAATGGCTACGACCGCTTCACTATCGGTGTCCTCAAATAGGCTATGTTCTGATAGCTTTTACAAATTTCTCGACTTTGTTGACCAGAAGGAAGATGCTACTAAGTTGAACACGCCTCAAAGTGGGAATGCTCAACAACTGCTGACCTTATCAACACGCGAGGACGTTCCGTGAAATCGGATAGATTTGCTGAGTTGGTTTTGTTCGGTAAAGCTTTTCGCGCTATCTGGTTTCCTGTCAGGTATCATTTATTCCCTCTCTAAGTTTAGGGAAGCATGTAAATATACAAACCTCTTTCTTCTGTTGGGCTCTCATATAAGAAGGCAGTCTGATCAGAATTCTCCGGCTATAGATAACCTCTGGATTCTATCAATGCGTCTGTTCTTAAGCACAGATTTTCAGTGGTCGGTATCTGAATGACTGCAATTACATTTACTGGGTTTTGGTCCAAGAGTTTTATTATCCCCGACCTCCATCTAAGAACTTTCTTTTAAGTTTTTTAAGTACCATAACCGCCGCATCCACAAAAGAGGGACAGCGAAATTAATCACATTGTAGCTCTTGAGTGATCAGCACATCCAAGATATGTGGTCTATGAATCGACTGAGTCGACCCTATTCGTAATAAGCCCGGATTATCATCTTTAGTCATGCTCTCGAGAAGGCATTGCCCATTAGATCTTGCTTTTCTTGTTTATAGGCAGTTTGCAGGGAATTATTAAGTTCGCATTCTAGGTGGATACTATTGGTGCCAAACTATCTTTGACATTGGAGGAAGCTATAGCCCACTTTGCCTCTTTAGAGCCGTGCAGGAATATCCAACAAGGAAGATTGCTTAAACTCCGAAGCAAAAGGTAATGAAGTTCATCAGCCACATGTTCCCATTATCTGCAGCTCGTGCGTAAATAGAAATCCTATCAAGTAGTACTCGTCGTACTTGACCAGCTAACACGTCGTCAGTGGTTCATCCAATCCAATGTAAGCGTCTTCAACGCATGTTTTGACATCACAACAAAGATTGACAGTCGCAGCAACGCAGACGATGTGATGTTTCGACAACATGTCACGTTGTACGTATGTTATATAGGATGCCATCTCCCGCTCTACACAGCCGTGCCAACAATGAACTCTGCAAAGTCCTTTAAAGGTTGTTGAATCCCTCGTCAATGAAAACAAACAAAGCCAACTTCAAAGATCAAATGGACCGGAATGCGCTTCTCGAATTGATCTGCCGTTGAGCCTCTCATTCGCGAGTCTCTTCTGCTGTTGCGCGGTCTACAGCACATTGTTTTCATGTTTACTCTAGCGTCTTAGACACGAAGACAGACTTCCCTCAGTAAGTTAAAGAATGGACAGACATTGCAAGGCCTGCCCAAGTCCAGGCAACTCTATGCGAGACTCACAATCTCCATCTCTTTCTTTATCTCCTTAGGCAAACTCCCAAGTCAAGATCAAGCAAAGACACTCTTGGTCGTCTTCCATCATGACGGTGGAGACTACTTCTAATATCCCGTCTCTTTCCAGGAATCTTTCTTCCTCAAACTCGGGAAAATCGGAACAAGGAAGAAAAAAGAAATCTGAGGAACGAGGACAAAACATCTGGGGAATTAGATGCAGCCGCCAAGGTCGGAAAATTCAGGTGTCCTAATAGGAGTCACGCTAAGTCGAATCTCATGAAAAGTAATTAACATGCTTTTCAAATTACCATTTTCTGACATTTGTGCTTTCGATTGCTGCGTGGTTCTCACTCCATAAGAGGACCCCTTGATATATCAGCGCACGAGATATTCGGTGGTGGAAACGAAATGTTCCTGCATTATACTAAAGTTGGCGAAGGAAAACAGGGACCTTATCGAGGAAATCGTCAGGTCGTGGAGGCCCCCATCTCCTGCTCTTTTTACCCCTAATAAAACCCAAAAAGTCTCTTCGAAGTCCAACTTTTGGAGTTGCTTTTGGCTTGAAACAAATGGTGGGTCATACCACCTCTAATCAAACTCCGAATACCCTTTCAGTGTCGCGAGGGAAGTCTCTCTTTCGGCCATTCTTTAAACAGCAAATATTCCGAGGCGTTCATCACGATGTTATAGAAAAGAACGAGAGCCAATAAGACGAGCGTAATCGAGTCGGATCAAAATGGAACCAAGTTGTCCGTACCCAGCTCGCCCTAACTCATGCAACAACGACCGTCGCTTCAGGATCCATCCTCGTAGGGAAATTGCCGGCCACCTTCCTCGTCCAACTGGCAATGAATTGAGATGGGGATGAAACGAGAATAGGAAACTTCAGTCCACTGTTCAATGCTGAATCGGACACGATGCATCGACGAAAGAACCAAACGGGTCCTCTAGGCTTGCCAAGTCTCGTACATTAGATTACATTTGCTGATTAGCGTTTAATTCAATATTATATTGACCCCCGACGAACCCTATTTGACATACCATTGACTCGGAGATGAATTCTTTGGAGCGTTCATCGCCAACTGACCAATCGAGAAGAGCCGGCACGTACCTCGAAAAAAGGTTCCTTTGCTAGGATACCGTACCTCTCCAAAACACGCATGGCATCTTGTTTGGTTGGTAAAGGGAGTGTTAACCCGGTCGCTGTAGTCTTGCTTGACCGTTTGCTTGCGGATGCCTCGTCCTTTTTAGATCGATCGGATGAAAGGCAAAATTGAATTTTTTATGGGGCATTGATGTTTTTTCCCCATCACTCGCTTTCATGGCATTGATGCTGATGCTCTATGATTAGAACCGATTCCCCATTTTTTGAATCCTAAAACCTACCCTATATAAACTGGAACTTGGAACCTACACTGTCACCGGTTCCAGGGTTGGTTTTAGGATCTATCTAGAATTTGGCCAATTTCCTTTTTTTTTTTTTGTTTCATTTTTAGTTAAACAAAATGAAAGTGAACGCAACAATACAAATGAAAATTTCTCATTTATCAATAGCAACAATTCATAATAGATGAACACATAAAATAAAATAAACAATAAAAAGTTCAATATAATTAAACTAATTTTTTTTTGTTGTTCAATTCTTTTTCTATTCAAAAAGGAGTACAACAACACAAATGATTTGGCGAGGGCGAGTCTCGCTAATGGCCAGTGGGGCTTGCTAGCCCTTGCCTCCGGCAACCAGCTAGAGGAAGAAGGAAGAAAAAAAAATAAAAAAAGGAAAAAGAAAAATTTTGAAAAAATATTATAAAAAATTGTCCACGTTAGTGTCGGCCTGCCAAAATTGGTCAGATGAACTAAATTGACACAAATACAAAAAGGTGTCAATTGGCACAAAAAAATTTTAGGACTGAATTGACATAATTGCAATAGTAGTCATTTCTTTTGTAATTCTCCCGGTAAATGGGTATCTCAAAGGCACGACTAAATGTTGCACCCAAATTTGAGGCAGACATTAATTCTGTTCAAAAGGTGGAAGCCATTATTGATCGAATTCCAAAAGTTGGAGTTTGGAACAATTAGGTTGCGTGTGATAGCTCGGATTTGAGTTCAGATAGGATAACAAATTATTTTATTCGGTGTTTAGTGACGTTTTCCGGATTGGATAAACCCAGATACATCCAGATAAAATGCTGGATAATAAATCTGGCCTAGGGGTAGGATAAACTTGGACTAGATATAAAATTTATAAAATAACTAAAAAATTCATATTTTATCTTTTAACAGAGTGATAAAGTGACCAATCGGATATTGCTTCAACGGCACCGCCCGCTCGAGGACCAACACCAAATTACCGATCATAGTCACTTCTGACCACCACATGATCACCGTCGCCTCCAACCACGCCGGCCATAATCGCTGGCCGGCAATCGTGTTTCAACAAGTGAGGGTGAAAAGGGGCCTAAAGACGATCGTCGTGCCGGGTTTGCATAAATTATCCTTTCCACCCTAGTCGCATACGCCCTTCACGTCGAGCCCGACCTTTCACACATGACTCACGAGCTGGCTATTCACCTGATGGTCGATGAAGAATAGCTAGCACACCATCAGCTTCTTAGCGACCACGCTCTCGAGTGTCGAGTTTGTTCCACTTGTTGTGCATCACGAACATTGTAACAACGCTGTGTTGCAGAACCTCCTCCTACGAGCCCATCCCACGACCCACACCTTCTCCGCTGTCGCCTCTCCTAGCTGCTTTCTTTGGCAATGGTTTCCGATTGTACAATCCATAGGAAGTGCCTCCCAGTGTTCATGAGGCTGTCCCAAAATTATGTGAACTCATGTTAGTGGAGAGACATCATGCTCCCGAGGTCGACTTCCCGGAGATGGGGTCAAGAGGGTTTGATAAGTCTCACGTACGGGAAGAGTAAAGTCAGAGATGGGATTTTCAAAGATTTTTAAAGATTTTGAAATGAGAAGAATTTTCAAAGTTTTTTTTTGAAAATTTCCAAATCCTATCTTAGGTTGCACCAAACATATGATAGGATATTTTTATAAATCGGGGGTTATGTGGAGGATTTGAAATCCCCATTCATCTTATAATGTTTCAATCTGAATCTGGATGACCAAACGTAGTCTTAGACATTAAGTGGAAAAGGAGCAACTGGACCGAATTCAAAAGAATCATAGTTAACTGGAGCAAAGCAAGGACAGACTAAGATGGTCCTGGGAGAAAGATGGAAATCTTTCAGTTAAAACTTTGACTGCTGATCACTGTGCAAGACAACTTTAGAGAAGAGGTATGGTTAGATTATAAGCCTCCTGTTCTCATGCGCATGAGAATTAGGTGTGGCAAAATTTTTCGTGGCAAAATTCGTGGCTAAAACCTTATTTTTTTGTAGTGTGCAATTGAGGATTAGGTGTGGAAAGTAATTCGGAAAGGCCAGTGCCCACCTAAAGGTAGCATAATTTATGGGAAGTGTGCTCTGGGGCCATTCCTACCAACAAGAACTTATTCCAAGGGAAGATTAATCAGGATCTTTATTGTCCTTTCTGTGGAGAAAAGGAGACTAGAGCATTTGCTGTTAACATGTGCTAGATGTTGAAGTATTTGGTTTGAATGTGCTGGCATCAGGATTCATAAAGAGCAGATTACCACTTTTGATGTGTGGCTAAAGCAGATGACTGAAGGATATCGTTCGGATGCCAGTTTAAGCCTAAAGGTTGTGATTAGAATAGCCTTCTGTTTTTAACATATTTGGAAGGAGTCGAAACGAGATGGCCTTTTTAACCGGGTTGAGTAAAATCCCAAAATTGTGGCCTCCCCGATTAATACTGCGGTGAAGGAGTTTGATGTAAACAAACCACAGTCAATTGGCTGAAGCAGAAATTGGAATAGTGGCTAGGAATTCTGATGGAGAGCTTGTTGGTGGCAAGGCTTAGTAGTTGATGCAGACTCAATTGATACAACAGAAGCTCTTAATGTGTTGAACTCTGCTCCATCCTGGGGCAGCATCTGTGTTGAAATAAGACTGACTTGTTGTGTATAGTGAGTTAATACTGGGAGTCAGTTGGTCTGCGTCCTTAGAAAGGGACGATGCAATATATTTGAAGTACTTGGAGACAGATTCCAAGTTCGAAAATGTGAATTGAAAACTTGTTACATTGTATATCACGATAAGGTAGAAATGGAGATTTACCTTTCCATTTTCATTCTCTCATTACTAATTCATAACCTTTGTTTAAATAATAGCGAGATTTGCAGATTTTATACAGGATTTCTGTTCATTCAATTTAGTTTATATATATACTTTCGCTTTCTTCAATTTAGTCCCTGATCAAATATTTTTCTTTCAATTTCATTCCTTTGATGCCAAGTAGACAGGGAACTTGATCTTACTTTAACAGACGGGAAAAACATAGAGGGTTATTCTATAAATCCTCGCGATAACGTGTAGATTTTGGCAATGTGGACGATACAAGCTCTTTTTTGGCCTGAACTAATGATGCATTCATCAAAACACAAATAGAGAGAAAAAACATGACAAGTTGCCAATGTTAGTGTCTCTCATTTATTCTATAGAAGCAACCGAAGCCGAAACTCTTCCACATCAATAGTGACAAACGGTGACGTTCCATCGTGTGATGGCATTGGAGTTCACCTGATCTAGGGACAGAGTTTCCATAAATGCGTATCCCCTAGCGAACCGGAATTTCCCGGTGCCGGACACCATCGACACTTCCCTGTATTAGTTGTAAAACCGATCGGAACCCTGTATTTCTAGTATGCTCCCATTGAACTCCCGGTTGGTGAACACAAGTGACATCAACAAATGCAAATCCGAGCCATCCCCAGCCGAGTTCACATAGGCCCCTCGGGCCCTCCCGACCACGGTGGAGTTGCGATCGTATGACTCGGTGAGCTTGTCGTTGATCATGAAGATGGTACCGAACCCGAGAATCCACCACCGGTTCCCCCGGATGCCGGCGACCGGGACGGTGGTTTTGTTTAGGCCAGTCTCCCAGTCGAACATGTAGAAGACCAACTTGGTCTCTTTGAGCTTTTGGTTGAAGTTGAAATTAGCTTCTGTGGAAGCAGAAATGGCTAGGAGAACAAGTAACGAGAGTGTGGCGAATTTCAAAATTGCATTTGGTGCCATTTGTGTGAAAACTGATAGATTGAGATGAGTTTTTGAGTGATGGGAGCTTGTAGGAGCTGAGCGTGATTTTGGGATGGTTGCATGGCAAGTGGTGAAATGGGGTCTAATTTATAGTGGGGAAGATTATTCAAAAAGTTCTAAACTTATTGTACTTTTATTAATTCAGTTTTAAACCTTTTGATTTTGCCAATGAAGTTTTAAACCTTTTCACATTTTGCCAATTAAGTTAATCAAATCAATTTTGACTGGAAATCGCTGACGTGGCAATCCAGGTAGTGTAGGCCATCTTACGTGACCGGCGAGGGCGCTCTCTATCAGTTTCTTAGTCGGGTGGGCTCAATTGGCAAAATGCGAAAAATGTTTATGACTCAATTGGCATAATTAATAGGGTTTATGATTGAATTGGCAAAAACGCAATAAGTTTAGGACTTTTTGGACAATTTCCCCTTCTATCCGCGCCAAGAAAGGAATCTTAAACGTTATCTAGGAGCCCCAAATCAAACCTTCAATCATATTTGTGTCGCGTTTTTCCTTCTTTTTTTTCCTTCCTCTAGCCAGTCCCAGGCCCAACGACCGGCCAAAGGTGACCACCCTTGCTGGCCACATAAGACGGTCGGAGTCCATGTAATGGATTTCCTATCAAAACTGACCGGATGGACTCAATTGGCAAAATGCGGAAAATGTTCACGATTCAATAAGCAAAATTAAAAATGTGTAGGATCGAATTGGTAAAAGCGCAATAGATTTAGGATCGAATTGACATATCAACTGCGATATTGAAACTGTCCGAGAGTGGGAAGCTCCAAAAGATTCACGAGAAATGGTTTTGCAAAATGGGTTGTCCCAGTGAAAGGGAATAGGACTCAAAACCTGAACAGCTCCATTTGATCAGCTTCTGGGGCCTCTATCTTCTATGTGGTGTTGTTTCTGTTGCAGACCTTCTGGTGTTTCTGATCCGGATGATTTGCTTGTTCGTCCGGTTCAAGAAGCAGCAAATGGCAACGACCACTTCACTATCGGCGTCCTCAAATAGGCAATGTTCTGATACCTTTTACAAATTTCTCGACTTTATTGACCAGAAGGAAGATTCTACTAAGTTGAACACGCCTCAAAATGGGAATGCTCAACAACTGCTTCCCTCATCAACACGCGAGGACGTTCCGTGAAATCGGATAGATTTGCTGAGTTGGTTTTGTTAGGTAAAGCTTTTCGCACTATCTAGTTTCCTGTCAGGTATCGTTTATTCCCTCTCTAAGTTTAGGGAAGCATGTAAATATATAACCTCTTCCTTCCGTTGGGCTCTCATATAAGAAGGCAGTCTGATCAGAATTCTCTGGCTATAGATAACCTCTGGATTCTGTCATTGCGTCTGTTCTTAAGCACAATTTTCGGTGGTCGGTATCTGAATGACTGCAATTACATTGAGTGGGTTTTGGTCCAAGAGTCTTATTATCCCCGACCTCCATCTAAGAACTTTCTTTTAAGTTTTTTAAGTACCATTACCGCCGCATCCACATAAGAGGGACAGCGAAATTAATCACATTTTAGCTCTTGAGTGACGAGTACATCCAAGATACGTGGTCTATGAATCGTCTGGGTCGACCCAATTCGTAATAAGCCCGGATTATCATCTTTAGTCATGCTCTCGAGAAGGCATTGCCCATTAGATCTTGCTTTTCTTGTTTATAGGCAGTTTGCATGGAATTATTAAGTTCGCATTCTAGGTGGATATTATTGGTGCCAAACTACCTTTTGCATTGGAGGAAGCCATTGCCCACTTTGCCTCTTTAGAGCAGGTGCAGGAATATCCAACAAGGAAGATGCTTAAACTCTGAAGCAAAAGGTAAAGAAGTTCATCAGCCACATGTTCCCATTATCTGCTTCTGCGTTGACAGAAATGCTATCAGTAACACTAGTCGTACTTGACCAGCTAACACGTCGCCAGTGGTTCATCCAATCAAATGTAAGCGTATTCAATGTGTGTTTTGACATCACAACAAAGATTGACAGTCACGTTACGACATGATGTCACGTTGTACATATGTTACATAGGATGCCATCTCCTTCTCGAAACGGAGCCGAGCCAACAATGAACTCTACAAAGTCCTTGTTGAATCCCTCGTCAATGAAAACAAACAAAGCCAACTTCAAAGATCAGATGGACCGGAATGTGCTTCTTGAATTGACCCGCCGTTGAGCCTCTCATTCGCGAGTCTTCTGCTGTCATGCAGTCTTTATTACGTTGTTTTCATGTTTACTCTAGCGTCTTCGACACGAAGAAAGACCAGGAAAAGTGTTGAAAAAGTTTTAAATCTTTTGCATTAGTGCCAATTTAGTCCTTCTGGCTAATTTTGACCGGATTTTGCTGACGTGGACGCCGGCCGGCTTACGTGGCATTGCCGGCGATATTGTGTACAACTTTTTGTTAAGGAAAATTCCCAATAAATTTTGAAGTTGACAAAATTGTCCATGAGTGTTTTGTAAGTCTGATAAATGCTTTGAAGTATTTTGATTCAGGAAGTTATTTTTGGAAGAAAATCATATGTCAATCTTGATCTAGTTCGTGTTCAGATTGTGAAAGAACGAAAAGTTCAGACTCAGACGCAGAAATTTTTCAGACGCAGACGCTGAAATTATTCAGACGCAGACGCAGACGCAGATGCTGAAATTATTCAGACGCAGACGCAGAACTCAGAACGAAACATAACAGCTAGTGATCTGGTATGGATTTCACAGAAGGAAAGTTTTGATTGTTTCAATCTAAGGCTATAATTGATTGACAATCAAATACTATGACAAGTATGCATTACAACGGATAAAGCTTTACTTATGGAAACCAAGATTCTGATTGTATGGGCGACCAGAATCAGCGGGATTCAGATTTTATCAACCAACGGCTACTTAATCCATTTTATACAAATCTGTCCAAAGGTGAATATTAGAAGATGATCCTCTGAAAACTGTCCAACGGCTAGTTTGGAAGTGAAGGAGTATAAAAGGAGATCAACGAGGAGCATAAGGTGGAGAACGAAATCAAGAATCAACAAGTCCAAAGTCTGAGCATACTCCGATTCAATCTCTTGTCTTTCGTGAGCTTAAACGTGTAATCATTTGAGAGGTGTAGACAGTGTTATAAGTATGTGCATAGGTGTGAGATAGTGTGATCTATCGGCTTGGTATAAGCAGCACCAACTTCAGAGAGAAGTGCTTGGGTTTAAGCGGCACAACTTGCTGTAACTTCTCATTGATTTGATTAGTGGAATCCAGCCAGTAGGCTGTCAGCGTGGGAGAGTGGACGTAGGCTTGATCTAAGCCGAACCACTATAATTGTTTGTGTGCAATTTTCTCCATCTCTAATATCTTATTATATTGTTTATACTGCTCACAAGAACATTTGTCACAAAGTCTGATCAGAATCTGCTTGTTGTTCAGACTTTGTTCTTGATCTTTTACTTCCGCTTTAAATTGGTAAAGAATTTATTTAGATCACCTATTCACCTCCCCTCTAGGTGATCCTTGCTAGCTACATCACTTTTAATAATATTTTAATATTTTTTTGATTTTTTAAATATTTTTTCTTTTCTTTTCTTTTCTTCTTCTTCCAGCCTAGTGACCGGTTGGAGGCTAGGACCGGCGAGGATCACCCGCGACCTCGCGGCCACTGGCGAAGGCTCGAGCCCTTGCTAGCGATTGGGCAAGGGCCGGCCTCGCCGGATCTGTCGAGGTCGTGCCTTGCCCAGCTGCTAGCAGAGGCCGGGAGGTTGAAGGCCGCGACCTTGCGGTGACTGGCAAGGGCGAGCCTTGCCAGTGGCCGGCGGGGCTTGCCGGCCCTGGCCTCCAGCCGGTCGCTTGTAGGAAGAAGAAAGGAAAAGAAAAAAAAAGAAAAGAAATTTTTTTTAAAAGTTTGAAAAATATTATTAAAAGTTGTCTACTTCGTTGCCGGCGATGTCACATAAGCCAGCCGGCGTCCACGTCAGCAAAATCTTATCAAATTAGCTGAAAGGACTAAATTGACATAAAGACAAAAGATTTAGAGCTGAATTGATATTAAAAAAAGGTTTAGAACTAAATAGGCATCAATATAATAGATTTATGATTTTTTCTGGCATTTTTCCCAAGAAAGACTTCCCTCGGTAAGTTAAAGAATGGACAGATATTGCACGGCCTGCCCGAGTCCCAGGCAAACTCTTTGCGAGAGACTCGCAATCTCCATCTCTTTCATCATCTCCTCAGGCAAACTCCCCAGTCAAAGATCAAGCAAAGGTCTTCTTGGTCGTCTTCCACCGTGACGATGGAGATTGCTTCACATATTTTGTCTCTTTCCAGGAAAATCGGAACAAGGGAAAGAAATCTGGAGGAACGAGGACAAAACTTCTGGGGAATTCGATACAGCCGCCGAGGTGGGAAAAGTCAGGTGTCCTAATAGGAGCCACGCTGAGTCGAATCTCGTGAAATGTAATTAACATGCTTTTCAAAAGACCACGTTTTGACATTTGTGCTCGCTTTTGCCGCGTGGTTCTCACTCCATAAGTGGACCCCTCGATTAATCAATTCACGGCCACGATTCTATTGGCGAAAGCCCGCGAGACACTCGGTGGCGAAAACGAAAGAGGGACCTTATGGATGAAAAAAATCATCAGGTCGTGGAGGTCCCCATCTCCCGCTCTTTTTACCCCTAATGGAACGCACAAAGTCTCTTCGAATTCAAACTTTTGAAGTTGTTACTGGCTTCAAACAAATGGTGGGTCGTCTCTCTTTTGGCCCTTCTTTATAGAGCAAACATTCCGGCGCGTTAATAATGATGTTGTAGAAGAGATCGAGAGCCAATGGGACGAGCGGAATCGAGCCCGAGTTACCCGTACCCAGTTTGCCCAAGTAAGAACGGCCATGGCTTGTGGAGAAAAGTATTAAAAATGTTCGAAATTTATTGCATTAGTACCAATTCAATTATAAACCTTCGATCAGACCACTTTAGTCATGATGCTTTTCACATTAGTAACAATTGAGTCCATCCGATCAATTTAGGACGGAAATTTCTAACATGGACACCGACCGTCTTACGTGGCATAGCTGGCACTTACGTGAACATTTTTTTTTATATTTTTAAATAATTACTTAATTATTTCTAAAATATTTAATTTCTTCTTTTCTTCTCTTTTCCTTCCTTTTTTTTTTTATCCACTGTGCCTTGCAAGGGTGTCAGAGCTTGCTAGGCATTGGGCGAGGTGTAGGTGATCGTGGGCTAGATTTGGGAGAGGCTAGCCTCACTATGGCCTAGTTGGGTGCGGGCAAAGGCGGCCTCACCCGCGGCTGGCCAAGCCATGGCCGCCTTTGCCCATAGCCGACAGGGCCTAGTGCTCCTCGATGTCTGGGAGGATGAGGGATTCCTCGTCATTGTAGGGAATTAGGGTTTTGTCGAGATAGACGCCCTTGTCGAGGAATTTTTCTTTGAAGGGTGGCTTCAGGATTTTTTGCAGTGGCATGTTGGCTTGGTGCTTCAATGGATGCGCCACCAAGGAATGCTGTTGGCTTGTGGGAGGTTGTTTCCAGATCTAGGCGAGATTGCCTTCGCCCGTGGTCGGCTAGGCCATGGTGAGGCCAGTCGAGGCAGCCTCGCACGTGGCCGCCTATGCCTTGCCCACATTTGGGCGAGGCCGGGCTGGCTGGCAAGCTCTGACGACCCTCGTTGGCCATAGCGGAAAAATAGAAAAATAAGAAGGAAAAGAGAAAAAAGAAGAAAAAATTAATAAAAATATTTGAAAAATATTAAAAAAATTGTTAGCGTGATCACTAGTCATTCCATGTGGCACAGTCGGTGTCCACGTTAAAAATTTTCAACTTAAAGTTAGTCAGATGGACTCAATTGGTACTATTGTGAAACTGTCTAGGATTAAATTGGTCAAATTAAAAGGTTAGGACTGAATTGGTATAAATACAACAGGTTTACGATTTTGATACTTTTCCTGTCGCTTGTGGATCCATCCTCGCATGGAAATTGCCAGGAACCTTCCTCGTCCATCACGTAATGAATTGAGATGCGAATGGAACAAGAATAGGAAAAATCCCACCCGATGCATCAACCAAAGCACCAAATGGGTCCTCTAGGGTTGGCAAGTCTCGTACATTAGATTGCAATTACTGATTACCGTTTAATTCGGTCTTACATTTACACCAGACGGTCCCTTTACTCGACATGCCGTTGACTTGGAGATAGAATTTTCCGGAGTGTTCATTGCCAACTAACCAACCAATCAAGAGGAGTTGGCACGTACCTCGAAAGGGGGTCCTTTGCTAGGATACCATACATCTCGATAACACGGCCGGCACCTCGTTTGTTTGGTAAAGTGGGTGTTTACCCGATCGCTATAGTCTTGCCTCACCGTTCGCTCGTGGATGCCTCGCTCTTTTCAGAGCGATCCGATGAAAGGGAAAAAATGAACTTCTTTTACGGGGGTATTGATGTTTTTTAACCCACACTCCCTTTCATGGCATCGATGCTGAGGCTCCATGATGAAGATGAGCCACTTTGGCGTAGATATTTTTTATTCATGCGGCCATATTATTCGAAACTCAAGTGAAGTGTCAAATCCTAAATCGCACGTTCCATTCGGTAAAACTACATTAAACTTTCTCTTTAGCGCCACTCATTTTCCCACTGATCACTCCACCCACCGTGTCTCTAGCTATATGTAACGTGAGCATTATAGCAATAGAACTTAGGGTTCCATTGGCGTTCGTACAACAGATACTCAAAGACTGATCGCGTAATCATCCCTGATCTTCTGACCGTGTACACTGTAACATATCGGTATCGGTTCGTCAATATAACTACTTTATTTACATCATATTTTTGCTTGGTAAGAACAATATTTATAAGGGGTTAATTATCAAAAAAGTCATAAACCTATTATACGGAGGCTAATCCAGTCGTAAACTTTTTAATCGTGCCAATTTATTCCTAAACCTTTTAACGATATATCAATGTAGTCCTTTCGACCCAATATCTAAATAATAGATTTGGGACTAAATTGGCAAATCATCAAAATATTTAAGACTAAATCGACACAAAGAAATATTTAGAACTAAATTGGCAAATCATCAAAACGTTTAGTACTAAATTAGTAAAATTAAAAAAGGTTTAATATCGAATTGGCTCCCGTACAATAGGGTTCATGACTTTTTGCACAATTATCGTAATTTATAAGAAATCGGTAATATATAAGAGCGAATTTTCTCTTTTCATCCAAGCATCTATCCACACCAAGAAAGGAATCTCACAACATGTCGAGGAGGCCCCAAATCAAACCCGAAATTACCAAAGGAGTGAAAAGAATCGAAGGAAGATTAAACAAAAGAAGATGCTGAGATTCCGAGCAGGTGAAATTGCATGTGGGGGCCGGGGGAGGGGTAACACTACAAGGGTCGTCGTCCCATGGTCACGATCTCCCATGTTTCGTCCCCGTGCGAGCTTCTGTCGTTATTGATGATGCCCTGTTGTGTCGTTGCCTGCTAAGGGGGCGGCCATTGATGGCCCTGCCGACGTGGCCCACGTGGGTCCCACCCGCGGTCTTGTAAGAGGGGAAAGGACGGGATCGGATCTTGCCCTTGCTCGTAATTTTTTCGTGTTAATATCATAAAAAATTCAAAATTAATATATTTATGATAAATTTATTTTAAATTGATTTTTTGACCGCTAAAAATTTTAAATCAGTACGTTCGTGACAAATTTATCCTTCATTAATTTTCATTAAATTTTACCGTCAAATTGCTAAGTTAAATGACACGTGACAATTAACAAATATATTAATTTTGGGTTTTACTCTCCATTTATCACATGATTTTTTTTGTATTAATTCAATTTAACGGAAAGTAAATTTGTCACAAATATATCGATTTAAGATTTTTTATGGTTAAAAAGTTAATTTGGGGTAAATTTATCGCAGGTGTATCAGTTTGGGGTTTTTCGTGGTATTAACTCTAATTTTTTCTTCTGAAATTCGTAATTTCCTAATTAATAATAATAATAATAATAATTTATTGATCATTACCCTTTCATAACTTTCTTTCAAAGGGGTCGTTCTAGGAGTTTTCTGTGATCCGAAATATTCCAAAAAAAATTTAGCAATTTATCTAGGTTAAACAGTAAATTTCTTATGCATTATACTGTTAACGAAATGTATGATCGGTCGTAACTTCCCTTTGTACTTCGAAAAGTTCTGGAGCCTACGCGTTAGTACTTTTCGTTGCTCCTCGTAATTTATTTTTTTTAAAATAAATCTAAGTATGATTAGCTTAACATTCCGCGACTTTCATTTAACGTTAAGTCAATTACGGTCAGAGGGGTTCACATTAAATGCGAGATGGGTCCCGTGAGAACACTTGCATACTTGAGGATCCCCACGTGCCCAGGAATTCTATCGCCTTTGTCCTCTTTCTTTCTTGAGAAATCACTCTCACAATAAATGTTCCCTTTCCGTGACGATTGACGACTTCCCATAACCAAAATCAAACGCTCCATTAGCCCAATCCTAATGACTTAGCAGATTCTTAACGGTTAATACCACAAAAAAACACTCTAAACTGGTACATCTGTAATAAATTTATCCCAAATTAATTTTTGGATCATAAAAAATCTCAAACTAGTACATCTATGCAAATTTACACCAAAAAATCCAAAATCGGTACACTCGTGACATATTTGCCTTTCAAATTTTACCGTAAAACTGCTCAGCTAGATGATATATGTTAGTAACTCAATTAACATGGCAAGTTCACGTGGAAATCCATATCAATTTGAGGTTTTTGATGACCCAAAAAATTAATTTAGGGTAAATTTGTTATGGGTGTACCAGCTTGGGGTTTTCGCCGTATTAACCCTATTTTCTTTTATTAGGAAGATCTACTTACACGCTTTCACATGAAATAATCACGAACAATAAGCGCTTTCCCAAAAATAATATTAATTGCGGGCACTAACTTATCTATTTCTCGTGACGCAATCAATGACTGTCTTGACGCCAGTCGAAGCTTACGTCTCTTATCACTTTGGTCAAAGAAATAAACACGATTATCCTTGTATCTTTCATTTACTTATATCACCATCATATAGTTCTTAATAATTTCCCCATTACTAATTTTTTCCCCCTCCGCAACATTTGAATGGAATATTGAGGAACGCCGACTCATGCAAGGCACAAAAGTCTATATAAGTCAAATAAAATTTCGCAATGCTTACGACTCAAGAACACAACCCCACATGATTCACACCCAACCAAACGGGGGACCCACACCTTATTAAAACCCTCAATAATCCCGAGGGCCCCACTTTGCTTAGAAATAAAACAGTCCCTTCCGGAAAAATGATACAAATAGTACCTTAACTTAGGCATAATATATAATGTGTCTCTGAACTTTTAATTTATTTAATATGATCTCTGAAATATAGCCCAATATGTAATGTGATCCTTTGTATATATTCAATTTAGTCCCTGAACTTGAAGTAATAAAATGACATCATTGAATATTTTCATATAGTTCGAGAATTAACTTGAGCACGAATCAAAAATTGAGGAATCATATTGAACAAATTAAAAATTTAGACATCATATTATATACTGAGTTAAAGTTTAGAGATTATATCGAACTAATTAAAAATTTAGAAATAACATTACATTTTAGGCTAAATTGCATAGACTATTTATAGCGTTATCCAAATCAACCGTACAGCTTAAACCTGCTGAAGTCCATCAGAAGCCATTAAATTAAGCGAGATTCCCATGGCGGTCGCCGACGTCGCCTAATCAGGGCCATTCGCTCACTCCCCCTCGTCAATCTCAGTTTCGCTTTATGTTCGTGTTTTTTTTTCTTTTTTTTTTTAACACATGGTGGCGGTGATTCTTCCTTCCATGACTAGGGTGAACGTAAGCTCGTCAGCTTTTGGGTGCACATCTGAGAAGTAGAAGAAGAGAGAAGAGAAGAATTCCAAAGCGAGGCACCGATGTCAGAGAATCATTCTTTACTTGAGGCTTCCGCACTGTTCAGGGCTTTGAGGTGCTCCTTGTTGAAGTCTCTCTTGTTTCTTGAATACTTCTTCTTCTTCTTGCTTTCTTGCTTTCTTCTCTGGTCTTTCTCCTGATATCTAATGAGTATTAAGTACATGTAATCTCAACTAGCTCAGATTAGCTCAAAACCATTCATTTACTTCGTCCTTCCTGGTAATCTCCGGGCGCTACCCTCCTGACCTGTTGTCTTCCCAGTGATGTATTGGATTCTCTCTCCCCCTCTCTCTCTCTGGCCTGCCAATCAAATGCATGTGTGTCGTGTGTGTACTCGGTTCAAAGTTGGATCTTTTGCCTCCCCCCTCCCACCAACTTGCCTTGCTTAGAGAAATACTTTTTTTTTAATTTTCTGCTTGATGATTTCCTCCCTTTCTTTTTTCCTTTATGGCTCTGTTTCTTCTTGATTGGGTACTGGTGGACAGTGACTAATCAATAGTGGGTCTTGTATGGATGCAGCAGTCCCGAAGTTTAATAATTGTTTTCAGAGGCTGTTTCGCTAGTCCCCGTAAGCGGGTATTGATTCTTGATATTTTATAGCCCGTGAGCTGGTTTGAATGTTGATATACTCTTATCCAATGTTGATGCGAGAAATCCGGTCGTGTGAATGGACATGTTTGGTTTTTGCCGTCCAAAGAACTCCCGGGTTGAAAGTTCTCCTTGCGTGTCCGGGCAATTTGCAGGTCGGTTTTTGTCATGCATCTGATGCTGCGATGTCGGTGTTGATCCAAGGGTAGCGAAGTTTTCGGCGACATGGAGGTGGCCTTGAGAGATAATCGTGGCCTTGTGCTCATGAGAAGAATGCCATGCCTGTTGCTGGTGGCGTGTTTGTGGCTGACCACGGGTATAATCGCCGATGCGGCTGGGAATTCCAGTTCTAATTCTTCTTCTCTGCCTTCTTCCTCGAAGCGGAGTGCTGTGACTATAGGTTCTCTATTCACCCGAAATTCCGCGATCGGAAAAGCCGCGAGACCAGCAATTCAAGCCGCGATCGATGATGTTAACGCCAATTCGAGCATTCTTGCCAGTACAGAATTGAAGCTTCTCGAGCATGATACGAATTGCAGCGGATTTCTCGGAACTGTTGAAGGTACCGCCTGAAACTCTGCACTCCGTAGAGATTAGATACCATGCTATAGCAGTAAATCTTACTTGAAACCTGAAATGTTATTGTAAGTTCAGAAGATTAGATTAGGCTCTTAGCTGGCGATATATGAGCTGAGATTAGTTGCTTCTCATTCACTTGGTTTCGTGATTTGGGAGTCTTTATCTCTACTGTAGTGAAAATTAAACAGCTATTTCCTCTGTCCGAGAAAGGAAAACTTTCAGTGTATTCCCAGGTTTCACTGAACAAATTTTGGGCAATGGTGCAAATTGTGAGTAACCTTCTGATACTTGTGATAAAAGTTAAATCGAGCTATCAGATGAGAAGAAGAATGAACCGTGTATTATGCATTGCGTGTCTCTCCCGTTCAGATTCCACTTAATTAACAATCGCAACATTTCATTTGTAGCTTTGCAGCTCATGGAGAATGACGTGGTTCTTGCCATAGGCCCGCAATCCTCCAAAATAGCTCATGTCATTTCCCACGTAGTTAATGAGCTTCATGTGCCGCTGCTTTCGTTCGGAGCGACGGACCCGACTCTGTCTTCGCTGCAGTACCCTTATTTCATCCGTACCACGCAGAGTGACTCTTTCCAGATGTATGCGATTGCCGATTTGGTTGAATACTATGGGTGGAGGGAAGTAGTTGCAATCTTTGTGGATGATGATTACGGCAGAGGTGGGGTTTCAGTCCTCGGTGACGCTCTGGCGAAGAAGCGTTCCAAGATTTCTTATAAGGCCGCCTTCACTCCCGGGGCATCGGACAGCGCAATCAAGGAATTGTTGATCGGAGTGAATAACCTGGAGTCCAGGGTTTATGTCGTCCACGCCAATCCCGACTCTGGTCTTAACATTTTTTCAATTGCGAACAATCTCGAGATGATGGCTGGTGGGTATGTTTGGATTGCCACTGATTGGCTTCCTTCGGTTTTAGATTTATCTGAGACAGTTGACGCCGATACGATGAATCTCTTGCAAGGAGTTATAGCTCTCCGTCATTACACGCCAGATACAAGTAAAAAGAAGAGCTTCTTGTCTCGGTGGAAGAGCTTGAAGTTCAAGACTACGGCTACCCCTAATTCCTATGCTCTGTATGCATATGATTCCGTTTGGTTAGCTGCCCGTGCTCTGGATACTTTTCTCAGTGAAGGCGGAAATATTTCCTTCTCTGACGATGCAAAGTTGGTTGGCTTAAATAGAAGCAGATTAAGCTTATCCAGTCTCCGCGTCTTTGATGGAGGGACGAGATTGCTCCAGATACTTCTTACTACGAACTTCACGGGTTTAAGCGGTGAAATCCGGTTTGATCCGGATAAGGATCTGATCCAGCCGGCAATGGATGTTCTAAACATTGGGGGCACAGGGACCCGCAGGATTGGATACTGGTCGAATTACTCTGGTCTTTCAGTCGTCACTCCTGAAACGCTGTATGACAAACCGCCTAATAGATCGGTAAGCAGTCAAAAACTTTATGGTGTGATATGGCCTGGTGAAATGACATTGAAGCCTCGAGGATGGGTATTCCCTAATAATGGGAAACCTCTGCGAATCGGAGTGCCGAACCGAGTGAGTTATAAGCAGTATGTAGCGAAAGACAAGAATCCTCCAGGGGTGAAGGGATATTGCATTGACATCTTTGAGGCGGCGTTAAACTTGCTGCCTTATCCTGTTCCGCACGTGTACATTTTGTATGGAGATGGCAAGGGCAACCCTGAATACAGCAATCTGGTTTATGAGGTTGCCCAGGACGTAAGTATCTTATTTAAAACTGTTACTTTCATTCGATGAGTGGCTTAATTTACTGTAGTTTAGAAGAATTTGTCAGAACTCTGATTTTTTAATGTTGGCTCAGGAAGTCATTGGTTGTTTAGCAATTCTATCTGAAATCATGATTGTTTTCCCTCTTGCTATGTCAGAATTTTGATGTGGCTGTTGGAGATATTACAATCGTCACAAACAGGACAAAGATTGTGGACTTCACTCAGCCATACATGGAGTCGGGGCTTGTCGTTGTTGTTCCCGTGAAGGAGCAAAAATCTAGTCCATGGGCTTTTCTCAAACCATTTACAGTACCAATGTGGTGTGTCACCGGTGCCTTCTTCCTCTTCGTGGGGGCTGTGGTTTGGATACTTGAACATCGGCTCAATCCTGAATTCCGAGGTTCACCGAGGCGACAACTCATTACCATATTTTGGTTAGTGTGTTTGATTCATTACAAGTTTTTGTTCAAGGAAGGGCTGATACATGATGTTGAATTTTCTGTGGGAGTGGCTACTTCCCTTCTGAATGATATTTTACAGCAAGAACCAAATAAAATTCCTACTTGGGATTTCTCTAAACTTGAGATGCTTACTTTGTGGCTCTGCTTAACGGGAACAGTATTCTTACACTGGAACTTTTTCTGGTCTTGCAGGTTTAGTTTCTCAACTATGTTTTTCTCGCATAGTGAGTACCCTATGCCTCATGCGTTGACTTTTCTGCATAAAAGATCTTCATTCTTGCTAATTGTTTCAGAGGAAAGATTTCATGACTTTTCTGGTTAACCTGACCAGGAGAGAACACTGTGAGCACCTTGGGCCGGTTGGTGTTGATCATATGGCTGTTCGTGGTACTGATAATCAACTCAAGCTACACGGCTAGTTTGACGTCAATCCTCACGGTGCAGCAACTGACATCTGGTATCGAAGGGATTGACAGCTTGATATCGAGTTTGGATCGAATCGGAGTCCAACAAGGGTCATTTGCGTGGAGTTATCTCGTCGATGAGCTAAACATAGCAGAATCTAGGCTTGTTATGTTGAAAACCCAGGAAGATTATGCGGTTGCTCTTGAGAAGGGATCAAAAGGAGGTGGAGTCTCAGCTATTGTCGACGAGCTTCCTTATGTCGAGCTTTTCTTGTCCAGCGCAAACTGTGCATTCAGGACAGTGGGGCAGGAGTTCACAAGAAGTGGCTGGGGATTTGTAAGTTCCTGAACAATTTTCTCCTTGTCTCTTCATTGATTATGATTTTCTGAGGAATAGAAATCGAAGCTAATTTAATCAGGCGGTGCGAGATGATTTCTGTTCTTGTCTGCAAGAGCCACACTTATATCATGAACACGATGATTGGGAAGAAACAGGTTGCAGTTGCAGAATTTGGGCTGTGCTAGAGGAGCAAATAAAGAGTATTGCGAAGATTTACTGAACGTGGCATGTCGTCACATGTCGGATCATCCAAAATAGATTTTTCGCTTACCTAAATACACTATTTTTATTTTCCTCTGATTGCTTCCTTGAGATGTGACATGATGACAACTGGCACAAAATCTAATGTGCTTCTTGGCATGCAATCTCCTTGTTTCAGGCGTTCCAAAGGGACTCCCCTCTCGCAGTTGACTTGTCTACTGCAATCCTTCAACTTTCCGAGAATGGCGATCTCCAAAGGTTTCATGATAAATGGCTGTCGCAAACTGAATGCTCAGCTCAAGTAAATGCAGCCGATGATAGCCGGCTCTCTCTGAACAGCTTCTGGGGTCTGTTCCTCATTTGCGGCATTGCCTGTTTCCTTGCTCTCACTTGCTTCTGCTGTAAGGTCTTCTCGCAGTACCGCAGATTCAGCCCTGGGACTGAGGAAACCGAGGTTGAGATCGAACCTTCCAGTACCCAACGCCCAACTCGCTCGACCAGCTTCAAGGACTTGATGGACTTTGTCGACAGGAAAGAAGTGGAGATCAAGCACATGCTGAAGCGGAAGAGCAGCGAGGAGAAGCGACAAGCCAACCAGAGCTCAGATGGGCATCCGTCGCATTCTCCTGCCTAAGAGAAGATTTTCTCTCGGGCCGTCACACGTCCTTGTATTTTCTTCTCCATTAGCCATAGGATGGGCGCAAGGTCAAGAGTATAGTTGTACATCTATGTCGCATTAAGTTGAGTTTCCACGAGTTAAGCAAGTGGAATCATGGAATACGCACGAAGGTGAACGAATTTGCGGAAGAAGGTTGCCTTTCTGTGCAATGCGTTGATGACTGTTAAACGCCGGACACGTTCTTTTCGCTGGAAGAGTCTGCTCAAGATCTGCTCTGGCTGAGAACCAAAGGTTGCTCTGTAGCGCAGTTGAGAGTGTCAATGCAACAGAGAAGTTGGTCCATGAATTTCGATCCATAGTGATTGATCACGATTCACAATTCACATCATGCAGTCTAGCGAACAAAGTTGTCAGAATGATGTAACCTCACATCAAGAAGTGACCAAAACCTGGCTGTATCTAATCATTGCGACAATACTTCTTAGCGCCATGGATAAGCGACATACTCAAGAACATGGTAACGCAGCTCGTGTACTCTGATCGGCTGGAGCCCATTTCCTTTTTTTCGCTGCAACACAGCTGAGAGTGATTCAAAAAGGCACGGCGTATTGTGTCTCCCGCTCATGCGCGGCTGACCTCTTTGATCCAGGCTTCCATGTCGGCCTAGGCAGAGTGGACCTTCTTGTCCACATCGCCTCCGCCTACTTCGGCGGGCAAGGTGGTCTTCGATTTGGCCTCAGAACTCGAAGATTGTTCAAATGCTTCCTCTTATCTTGTCTTCTTGAATCCATTTTGTAGGTATTGTTCCTAGTTCTCGCATTCTGCATTCTACATTCTGTTGGAGTTGGCGAGTACTTCGGGAACTCTTGTTTCTCATACCGGGCACGTGACGCAGCGTTCAACGAATAATTCAAGCAAAATCTTGCTTAGAGAGAAAAATCTCGAAATTCAATATTGATGATAATAATGTTCTGAATGTCAAAACAAACCCTAAACACCCTTTTATAGGGGTTAAACCTAATTACAATAGGAAATCTAATCATAATAGGAAAGTTACTTAATCTGAATTGAAAACCTAATCATAATAGGAAAGTTAATAAGCATTAAATAGCAAAATTACAAAAACGACCCTTAAAATTAACTCATAAAAAAATACTAAAATAATAGAAAAAAAATCATCTAATCGCATCACCGTTTCGTTTTCCGTTTGGACTTCTGTTTGTCCAATCGGTCCAGAAACGCACCACTAATAAATTCCACATCATTCTCCTCCACTTGAAAAGAACTCGTCCTCGAGTTAAAATCAGAATCTGGATATAACGGCTCTGTGGACTCATGAAACGGTGACAAATCAGCAACATTAAAAGTGTTGGATATGTCCATGCTATGTGGAAGGTCTATAACATAAGCATTATCGTTGATCTTCTTGCTGACAGCGTAAGGTCCATACTTCTTTGGCTGTAATTTACGGTAAGATCCGGTTGGTAATCGCTCTTTACGAAGAAAAATCATGATTTGATCACCTACCGCAAACACCTGCTTTCGCCTGTGCTTATCTGCTGCAGCTTTATACTTCTGATTAGCTTCCTCCGGCTTCTGTTTGACTTCATGATGCACTTCCACAATCTGTTTAGCCATATGATCCGCTGCTACACTTTTATCCGCTTGCTTAGATAACTGTATCAAATCCAGAGTATGCTGAGGTGCCTTTGTATAAACAACAGAAAAAGGTGACCTGCCAATAGAACTATGAACTGCATTATTATAAGCAAATTCTGCTTGTGATAAAGCAACATCCCATTGCTTCGGCTTATCTCCACAAATGCTTCGAATCAAGTTTCCCAGAGTTCTATTAACCACCTCTGTTTTCGGCTTATCTCCACAAATGCTTCGAATCAAGTTTCCCAGAGTTCTATTAACCACCTCCGTTTGCCCATCAGTCTGCGGGTGAGCAGTGCTACTGAAATTCAAAGATGAATCAAACAACTTCCACAAAGTCCGCCAAAAATGCCCTAGAAATTTACTATCCCTATATGAGGTAATAGATTTGAGCACACCATGCAAACGAACCATTTCCTTAAAGAATAATCTGGCCACACTTACTGCATCAGAAGTTTTCCTACAAGGAATGAAGTGCGCCATCTTGGAAAATCTGTCAACTACAACGAAAACAGAATCCACGCTTCTTTGTGTCCGTGGTAAACCAAGCACAAAATCCATGGACAGATCTTCCCATATATTGTCAGGACAGGTAATGGCATATATAAACCTGTATTATTAGATTTCCCCTTAGCAGTCTGACAAACATAACACTTTTGTACGTACCTGCTGACATCTCTACGCAATTGGGGCCAGTAAAATCGCTCCCGGACTGCAGCAATAGTTTTATCACGATCTAGGTGTGCAGCTAATCCTCCATCATGTAAATCACGAATTTCCTTCTCTCGTAATGATGTTTGAGAAGGGCAAAGCTGGTTTCTACGCATCAAATAGCCATCCTGCACATAAAATTCTTGCACAGGTTGACCAGAAGCACATAACTTTCAAATTTGCCCAAAGTCATCATCATCTGCATAACAATCTTTCAGCTGCTCGAACCGCAAGATGTCTTGGCTTAATGTAATCAACAAGCCAGCTCTCCTACTCAATGCATCTGCTACGACATTATGCACACCTGACTTGTGCTGTAATCTGAAAGGAAATTTTTGCAAAAATTGACATCATCGCGCATGCATATCTTTGCTAATCCTCTTCTGACTATTCAGATACTTCAAAGTTTCATGATCAAAATAAAGGACGAATTCTTTCTTAATCAGATAATGCTCCCAGGTCTTCAAAGCCCTTACGACAGAATAGAATTCTTTATCATAAGTGCTCCACTTTTGCCTTGCGTCACTGAGCTTCTCACTAAAATAGCAAACTGGTCTGCGCTCTTGAGATAAAACAGCTCCTATACCCACTCCACTAGCATCACAGTCCACTTCAAACAGTTTATCAAAATCAGGTAAAGTAAGAACATGTGCAGTACATAACTTCTCCTTTATAATAGCGAAACTATTCTCAGCTTCCTCTCCCCATAGAAATTTGCCTTTCTTCATACATTCAGTAATCGGGACTGCGATAGTACTGAAATTCTTAATAAATCGTCGATAGAAAGTAGCAAATCCATGAAAACTCCTAACGTCAGAAACTGTTTTAGGTGTCGGCCACTCTCTGATTGCTTTTACCTTCGCCTCATCTACCTCTATTCCTTCAGCAGTAATAATAAACCCCAAGAATAACAGCTTATTAGTTAAAAAACTGCACTTTTTAAGATTAATATACAGCTTATTAATCTGTAAGGCTGTCAACACCTCCCTTAAATGCATCAGATGATCCTCCTCAGTCTTAATATAAATCAGGATATCATCAAAATAAACTACAACAAATTTGCCAATAAAATATTTCAGAACCTGATTCATAAACCTCATGAAAGTTCTTGGAGCATTGGAAAGTCCGAAAGGCATCACCAACCATTCATACAACCCCTTTTTTGTTTTAAAAGCTGTCTTCCACTCATCTCCAAGCCGAATCCGAATTTGATGGTACTCATTCTTCAAATCTAGCTTCGAGAAGCACTTAGCACTGTGCAACCTATCCAGCATGTCATCCAATCTCGGAATTTGAAACTTGTAACCCGCGATTATTTTATTAATGGCCATGCTATCTACACACATCCGCCAACTCCCATCTTTCTTAGGAGTCAACAAGGTCGGAACAGCACATGGGCTCATGCTATTCTGAATGTGTCCCTTTCGCAACAACTCCTCCACCTTCTCTTTTAGAATCTCGCTCTCTTTAGAACTCATCCTGTAGTGCGGTAAATTCGGCAGACTAGCACCAGGAATTAAGTCTATATGGTGCTTAATATTGCGCATAGGCGGCAACCCATCTGGAATCTCTTCAGGCATCAGTTCGCTAAATTCCTTCAATAAAGGCTTGACTGCTTCAGGCTGCTCCTCCACTTGTAATTCAGTCTCAGTCTCAATTACTTATTTCACGACCGGCATGTGAATCTGTCGGGTCTCCTTAACCTCAGCTTCAAATTTCCTTGTAAGGGTAAGGAAATTATTTTCAGCAGATTGTTTTCCTTTATTCTTCAGTGGCAGCAACGTATACTTCACTCCATCCTTCACGAGGTTATATTGATTGCTCCTTCCCGAATGCTGAGCATCTACATCAAATTGCCACGGTCTCCCAAATAACACATGACATGCATCCATGTCTACTATATCACAATACAGCTCATCATGATATTTTCCAATGGAGAATGGAATTTTGCATCGTTCAGTCACCTGAATGCTTTCCGCTCCAGATTTAATCCATCCTAACGTATAGGGATTATGATGCTTCTCCACGGGTATTCCCAACTTCTTCACTGCCTCATTCCCAATGATATTCTCCATGCTTCTACTATCAATAACCACAGCAAAGATCTTTTCCAGAATGGTGCACCTGGTTCGGAATAACTGATGGCGCTGCGAATCATCTTCCTGTTTTGGGGCCAACATCATTCTACGCACTACACAGTTTACTTGCTCCTCTTCTTCATCTTCAAAATCATCGTTCTCACCATCCGGCGCACAGCAATATCCATCTTCCTCCTCTTCTCTCGCTGCTACGTTTACGGTCTTTCTCTGAGGGCATTCATTAGATCGGTGCCCAGGCTGATTACACGTGTAACACTTTATCGCAGCTGGTTTACCATAAGGGTTAGGGTTTGCAGTTTTCTGTTCTTGCGTTCCCTTATCCCTCGACTCGTTCATAGGGCACTTTTCTACCGCCTTATCTTCTTGATTTCGCCCTGCGTTAAAGCGATTATTGAAACTGCTCTTTTCTATCGAACTGCTCGAACTGCTACCTCAATAATTTTCGTAGCCTCTTCTTCCCCCGTCTTGCTGCATCAATTCTGCCTTCATCGCCATATTCTTGGTTTCAGTTAAATTTCGCTGAAACTGTACTCCAATTTTATTTCGAATGAAGGGTTTCAAACCATCGAGATATCTGGCCACTTGCTGTCCCTCCGTCTCTGATAAATTATTTCGCTCCGCCAATCTCATAAATTCGGCCGTATACTCATGCACAGTCCGATTGCCCTGCTGGCAGCGTTGGTACTGCTGGAACATAATCTGCTCATAGTCGGGTGGAAGAAATTCTTGCTTCAGCAGCCTCCTCATCCTAGTCCAAGTTTGAACTCTATCTTTCCCTTCTCGCTCCCTCTTATTCTGTAATCTCTCCTACCATGCAGACGCACCCCCCTTTAATCTACATGCCACTAATCGCACCTTTTTCTTACCAGGGGTCTCCATATAATCGAAAAATCTATCTATATCAACAATCCAATCCAGAAATTCTTCTATGTCCAGACTTTCATTAAAATAAGAAATATCGACTTTCAATTTAAAGTCGTTACCTTTACGATCGTCGTAACGTTGTCTTCCATCTCTTCGATCATACCCTCTTTGAAATCCTCCATGACGACGTCTGCCGCCATAATCAGCACGTTCCGCATCAAAATAATCGTTTTCATCTTCTTCCGAACTCTCTAAAAACAGAGGGTTATGCAACATGTGGACATAAACAGGCCTATCAGCAGGATTACCGCGAGCAAGATCTGCACCCGGCCTTCTGTCGTTCCGCCGATTCCGATTCACATCAACGCCGAGACCTTCGAATCGTTCTGTTAATTCGTCAAATATTTCTTCGAAACGACGAAGACTTTGATCGAATCGTTGATCCAAGCGTTCCACTAAACGCTGCTCCAAACGTTCTAGCGCGTCGTCCCAAAGGGTTGGGGCTCCAGTCTCCTGAGCATCGTCACGAAGACCACCGCCAGTCGCCATAGGCTTTGATACCACCTGACGCAGCGTTTAGCGAATAATTTAAGCAAAACCTTGCTTAGAGAGAAAAATCTCGAAATTCAATATTTATGATAATAATGTTCTGAATGTCAAAACAAACCCTAAACACCCTTTTATAGGGGTTAAACCTAATTACAATAGGAAACCTAATCATAATAGGAAAGTTACCTAATCTGAATTGGAAATCTAATCATAATAGGAAAGTTAATAAGCATCAAATAGCAAAATTACAAAAACGACCCTTAAAATTAACTCATAAAAAAATACTAAAATAGTAGAAAAAAAACCATCTAATCACATCACCGTTTCGCTTTCCGTTTGGACTTCTGTTTGTCCAATCGGTCCAGAAACGCACTACTAATAAATTTCACGTCAGCACGTCCACGTGAGCTTAGGAAAATCGAAGTATGATCAGAGGACATGTGACCCCTGCGCACGAAATGCGGGGGTTCGGGGGCAGCGCCCCCGAAACGGGGGTCCCGCTGACTGAACAGCGGACGGGGGTTTTGCTCCCCGGTGAGCAGGCGCGTTGCCCTCGAAACAACATCGATTTTTTGGCTTATGTTTTAAGCCGACTTATTTGTTGTGAGATTAAAGGGATTCGGATAGGCTTAGGCTTTGGGCCCATTTTAAGTCCTATATATTGTACTCGTATGAGAGATCATTGTAACGAGTGGTTGTGGTTGTAAAACCTAAATATCATAGTGGAATCCCTTTGCAGGACGTCGCCTTATTTTGGGGTGAATCTGGGTAAACTCGCGTGTCAAATTTTCTATTATTTGTGTGATTGTTCTGATTCGGATCGGATATAACCCCATCACATTCTACCTCCTCTTATCTCTAACATTTTCAGTTGGTTTTCTATTGTTTGCAATGTTGCAACACATCCTAATTAATTGTTGACACCTATTTTTAATTTGCCCAAAAATTAATTACACAAAATTTAGGAGTTAAATTTCTTTAATTCCTAAAACAAAAAAATATTTCTTTTTAAATGCATTGCATATAGAAATTAGGCACATTGGCATTAATAGGGTCTATTAGAATGTTTTAAAAAAAATTTTAAAAATATTCAAATTCAAAATTTAAAAAAAAATTGAAAAAAAAAAAATCGAGTCTGGCTGGGTCGGGGCCGGGCCGAACCGGCCCTTTTCTTTTTCCCGCATGGCCCCCGGCCCACTCTTCTTTCTTTTCCTTTTCTTTTCCCCCCCGCGGGCCCAGCCCGCTTTTCTTTTTTTCCTTCTTCTTTCCCCCCACGCGGCTGGGCCTGGCCCGGCCCAGCCCCTTCTCTTCCTTCTTCCCCCTGCGCCGAGCGGTCCTTTTCTCTCCCCTGTTCTCCTCTGCCGCTGACGCAGAGCGATGAGCGGCGGAGCAGCCCCGCGCTGTCCCCATTCGGTCAGAGGAAGCCGAAGAAACACGCCAATGGGACTGGCCATTAAGGCCAGTCCCGTCTTCCCCATTTCCCGGCCATCTCTCTCCCTCCTTCTCCCTCCTGTTTTCCACGTGTCAGAGCAGCCCCTGCACCGGCCTAAATGGCCATAAAAGTCTTCAAGGGGCGTAGGTCGGTGCAGGCCGTCGTCAGCAGACGCAACGGAGCAGAGAGTGAGCGTGGTCGTCGGCCTATACAGGCCAGAGAGAGAGAGAGAGAGAGAGAGAGAGAGAGAGAGAGAGAGAGAGAGAGGGGCGGCCTTTCTCGGTCGGTTTGAGCAGAGAGAGAAACCGAGAGAAAACAGAGAGTCTGAGAGAGACCCGGAGAGAATCAGAGAGAAACCGAGAAGAGAGAGGAGCCTCGGAGGGTCTTGCAGGTCCCAGCCGGCCTCGTCGTCACCAGCAAGCCGACCGGCAACCCCCGGAAGCAGCCCCGGTCGGCCGTTTTTGAAAGACAGAGAGAGAAAAGAGAGAGAAAGAGTGAGTTTAGAGCGTACCGAGATCACGCCGGAGTACGAGCGAGAACCAGCAGCGTCGCCGTCACCCCCCAACCAGTCGAAAGCCTCCCAGACGCGCCGTCGACCGGTGAGTCGTCCCCCCGGCCCGAACTGCTCTGTTCTCCCCTGTTTTTGCTCCCGGTTTGGCCGGGACCCGCGCCGGCCGTTTCGCGCGAGTCCCGGCCCATACCGCCGTCCCCCGCCGTCCGTGCGTCGTCGCTAAAGGTAAGAACAGGTTTCCCGAGGACGGCGGGGCCTCGAAACAGGTCGGAATCTCCTGTTTTTGGTCGCGCACGCCCGGTGTTCGACAAAATGCCTCAAAGAGGCCGGTTTTTAATTCGGTCGCCGGCCGGCGAGCGGCGGTCGAACGGCGACCCAGGTGGACGGCGAGGCTTGGCGGTGTTCCTAGAAGCCGATTTGGGGGCGGTGCCGGTCTGGGTCGGCCGACGGAAAGCCAATTTTGGCTCCGCCGGCGTCCCCGTGTGTTTGTACACGCGGGGTGACCCGACCCGGATCAGCTGACCCGACCCGGGTCAACGCCCTGGGTCGGGTCCGTTGACCGGGTCGGTTCCGACCGACCCGGATAAGCTGATCCGACCCGGGTCAACGCCCCGGGTCGGATCCGTTGACCCGGGTCGGTTTCGACCCGGTCCGGATCCGCGACCCGACCCGTTTTCATTATTTTATTATTATTTTTAAATTTTTTTTTATTAAACAAAAATTTTAAAAAAAAAATTTTAAGAATTTTTTTTTTCCGTATTATTATTATTTTTTCCTTAAAAAAATCAAAAAAAATAATTTTTTTTTAAAGTTTGTGTGATATATTCTAAATGTTTAATTTATTGTAGTATTATTATGCATATTTTTGTCTTGTTTAAATTAGACAAGCCTGAGATTGCGCGGTAATATTTTGGATGTTATTTTTATTATCGCTGTATTATTATGCATTTTTTAATACAATCGCATGAGTTGTGTTTTGAATGTCATCTGACTTAGTTAAAGTTAGAACCTTAGGCTGCATGAATTGTTGTGTTTCTGATTGCTGATCGTTTCTGATTATGCACTTGCTTGATCACCTCACATGTTAGGAGAAAGGTCCTAAAATCAATCCAAATTGCCTGACAAATGTTTTCAGAAATGAACAGGGTAAAATGGTACCGAAAGGGCATTAGTTATCCAACTAGTGTAACCAAGTCCCCGAACTCATTTAATCTCTGGTTCGTAGGAATAGAGTGATTCTCCCATCACCCTATTTGGGTTTCTAATCGACCCACCCCAAATCGATTAGTGGCGACTCCTTGATATAAACCACTTGCATGTTAAAAAACTTAAACCCTAAGTCGCGATATGGTATGGGCTTGGGAGAGCCCGAGTTAAGTCCCGAACCTAGACTTAGCACGTACCAGGCGAGCCCCCCCTTTTTGCATGTTGTTTAAAAAGGGCTCGGGAGTTCGGTCGCGACATTAATGTATTGCTTCACCTCATAGGATAGTTCGGGGTGTACGACTCCTCTTACAGTGAGAATTGCACAGACGCAAAGAGACCGCCACCTAGCAAGTATATAAGCCTTCAAAGTTTTCAAGACACTCTTAGAGGGAAAATTGTTTAGAAATTCCTCTATCTATTGCACGGCGGCCAATTTAATCCTAAAATTTTCAATTTAGCAAATTTAGTTCTAAAATTTTTGATGATTTGCCAATGTAGTCCTTCCGATCATTTTTGAATGAAAATCGCTGATGTGGTTGTTTGCTCAGTGCTGGACGTTTTACATGGATGGCGGACGACCGATGCTGATGTGGATGATTTTTGCAAATTTTCCGAATGTTTTCTTCTTTTTTCCTTCTTTTTATTCCTTGTTCTTTTTTGCCCTATTTCACTTCGCCAGCCATCGTCGAGGCCTTGGCAGTCGGCCAAGGGAAAAAGAAAAAAAAAGGAAATGAAAGGAAAGGAGAAAAAAAGAAAAAGAGAAAAAAAGGAAAAAATTCAGAATTTTTTTAAAAAATGGCATGGCAGGCACAAACGTAAACGATTTTTCTAATTTTTTTTAAATTCTAATTTTTTTTTCTATTTTTCCTTTCCTCCACATCGGCTATCCGACGTCCATATTAGTGATTTCCAGAAATTTTTTTTTTTTACCAAAATGACCATATTGACAAATCGTCAAAATTTAAGACTAAATTGAATAACTTAAAAAGTTTAGGATCGAACTGGTCGCCGTACAGTAGATTTATGACTTTTTGGATAATCATCCCCACTCCTAAATACATGCAAAAAAGGTCATCTATACTAAGTCTGAGTTTGTCGAATAAACCAAATTTCGATTGAAGAAAAATTGAAAATTGCCTTAGATATAGTACTCCTTTCCACATAACGCAGTTGCTGCTAACAAAATTTCTAGCAATGTTAGAGACAAACCTCAACAAGCACCGAAGAAGAAAATGATCAAATTGAAGGCAAACATCAGGGATAGAAATTGAAAATTGAAGGCGAAAAAGATAAGAAAAGAAGCAAATCCGATGCTAGCCATAGCCAGAATGTGAGCTTTACTGCCCTTGATACGAATTCATGAAAATAAAACAGACAGCATCCTCAAATTCCACAACTGTAAAAGCCCTAAACCTAGCTAAACCCAGTTTCTTTTCTTTCTCTGGACATGTGACAAAGCTAAAAGCTAGCGAAAACCAATAGTACCGGACTCTTCTGCTTTAGGTACTGAAGTTAACAACATAATTTAATGGAGTTCTCTGATTATCTTTGTTCCGAGAAGTCAATTCCCGAACCTCTTATCGTCGCGCTTGCTTCGGAGAATGCTTGAGGTCAGTCCAGTGCTCGAAATAGACGCCAAATAAAGCGCGGGGGATCATACGAGGTGCGTTCTTGACTTCTCCAAATGACTCTATGAGTTAATATACTGTCCCTTAATCGCCTTCTCTCCCACCTCCTCACTCCTGCTCTTGCCTTCTTCATTAAACTGTTCAAAAGAGAGGAAGCATCAAACGTTTAAGAAAAGGAAATCAAAGGAGATAGTTACATAAACATTCGTTAAGACAAACAAAGCAATCAAAGAAGATTCTATTCTTGTTCGGAGACGGTGGAGAAAGAAAAGTCGCGCATGTGGTATTAGGTTATTGATATTGCTCAACTAACATGATACAATTGTTTGTTTCCACTGACAGCTAACAAATATAATTTTGGAAAGATTTTCCCTCCATGGATAGAAGAACGGAGAACAAACCTAGATTCACAATGATGCATTTTTCGACGTTCAGAATACCATCGACCCATGTGAATAACTCAAAACCCTAATGCACCAAACAAAAGCAATGCTGCTTGATTTGGAAAAGCAGATAACCATCTACCTAAAATGTAGAAGGTAAAACTTACCTAGAAAACAAGGAGAAAAAAGAAACATCAAAGATGAGATGATGTTTTTCTAATGAAAAAGAAAGACATGAGATAATTGTTCACTTACCAATGTGCATGAGAAGTTAATTGTTCTCAGGCGATAAAGAAGCCCTAATCCTTTCGACAGTGCAAGCGATCAAATTGTTAACGGTTGCGACCGATCCCAGAGAAAGCTTTGCAGTCGGGACCGAATCGACCAGAATTTGAAATGCGACGGTCAAGAGAGATCCGCCAGATGCCACTTCACCACCGCCTTGCTTGGACGAGCCATCAGGAAGTATGGAAAACCCTGAGGGAAGAAGAGCCACGTAATCGGGATCTCCACCATTTAGAACCACGTTCATTGCGACGATATCGACTGGAGCATATACCACGAAAGCGCCCGTTGCATCAGTGCAGCTCTCTTGCAATATCAGCATGTTGCTTTGACTTGAATTTGCACTCTGAAAAAGATTTACAACAAAGGTTTTGATTAGATCGGTAACATAAGAGTTTAGCTATAATAGAAGGATAAACCCAAAGCTCACATTTACTCGCAACAGAGACACACAGTTGCCGGTGTCCCGGCCATTGGCGATGTGTGCCATTTCTTGAACAATCCCTCCATTTGAGAGAATATCCCACTGCTCAAAAAGATCAGGGTATCAAATCAATATTACAAGAGCTTCAGTTTGCTTCTTCAACAAATTAATCCAAGCAACATTAGCACCACAGTCGAAGGGACTTTGAATGCTTCATAAAACTAAATCTTCGGTTAAGAAATTGGATGGTCGATCATTTGTACGCTATATCTTATAAAAGACATAGTAGTACTACAAGAATGCATTTCAGCCCAAAATCATGTCTAAGGAATTATGGACAATGTTAGCTAAATAAGGCATCAAATGAATTGATGTTCTCTCCATTATTCATGCATCCGAATGAGGAGAAAAAGGAGGAACCGAGAAAATGAATTCGCAAATATCGCCTGACATGCTTTGAGAGAACAATGTCTAGTTGACTGTACCCTGATAATATCCTTTTAAGATAAAAATCTCGAATTTAACATCCTGATAGAAGAAATAAAAAAAACACAGGTAGCTGTACATATTAATGGCAATTAACAATATTTGCATAGAATTTATTAGAAATCCATTTAAGAATTCAAATTATATTTCCTAGCTTGTCAAGTTCACCAACTACACATGCAGATCGTTGTTTCCATCAATGTGATATTAGAAAAAGCAAATTCTTCAGATATCTTTCCATTTATTCCCCTTCCCATACTAAAACAACATATGCTATAAACTTGTTAAGGAAGGAAAATTGCATAATGCACATATAAGCTCATAAACTTTTTCCCTACCTCACTTCGAGAATTCTCATCACGAAGGAAATCGAATACCCGCTTGGGGGAAACCGGCAGCCAGAAGGAAGTGGCAGCGCATAGAACTATTCCGGGAGGCCTGCCCGGATCATCCACGCTTTTCCGAGTCATCACACGCACGTCGTCTGCTCCGGTTCCGGATAATGTCGTCCATGTATGAGCTGTAGATGCGCTGACTCCGGCACAAAAGCTTATTACCATCCTCTCAGCCAGCTTCATCATGCTCTTTCTCCCTTCGGGGCTCGTTATGACTATCGAAAAAAGCAACAAGTCAAAAGTTTAAACTCATTCAACCCTCAATGCTTCCGAAATGTTACCGCGAAAGAGCTTTGATAGTGTATATTGCATCGAAAAGCTAAAACATCTAGGCACCAACGAAATTAATGGTAGCATAGCCTTAGTAAAAATCAGTACTCACAGACAAATCACTAGGTCACTATGGGCACTATATAATGCCCTCAGACCTTAATTGAACCCGAAACTCGTGACAGACACCGATGGAAAATTAATCAGAAGGCGAAAATAACACGTATGTTCGTTCAAGAGGAACATGAAAAGCTTCGACGCGAGCAAGAGAGAAATGGCGTTAGAGTATTTGTGAGTGTAGGCCACAAACTGAGAGATACAGAATGTCGATTTGCAATCAAATAAAAAAAAGTATCGGTGTTCATAATCAAATAAAAAGAATCCATCAAAATACACCTTGAAAGAGAGTCAAAATCAAAACATTACCACCAACATCTCCGCTCGGAATATTAGTTGCCATGGCACTTGCGAGACGTTCACATTGTCGATCTAATGTAGCAACCCAGCGTTTGGCCCCGAAAGCATGGCCAGAGCCAACAAGCTGCTTGTATAGGTTATGCACTCCTCTGTCATCTACTTCCACATGCTCAAGCCATGTGACCTACAACATTATTTTATTCACTTACCTTTTCTAATGGACTAATATAGTTGATACAAAAATCAGAAGAGAGAAAGATTCATTATACCTTAGAGTATCCGTTTGGCATTTCTTGAATCAGACATCCCGAAGGCTTCCTACGGCATCGAACCGCTGGGTTTGAGCGTAAAGTGTCCAAAGAAACATCAACCACTGCCCAAGTCCCGTCGTTATGTTGTTTGCAGTAGCGGATGAAATAAACTTCCCGAGTTGGAACGAGCGGCGACGGAACTTGAAATTCAGCTGTCACCTGAGAATTCATGAGATCAATCAATCAAATAATCGGATGTGTTAATGGATGCTAAGTGCTCACTAAATTCCCAGAGCTCAATTGTCTCGCTTTAATTAATCATAACCACGCTAATTTTGGGCATTGGTTTGATCTATTTACGTTTGTATGAGTAGAAACACATATAAGTCCTACGAATTGAGTGCACATACATACCACTTGCAAGGCCCCATTGTAATTCCCTGCCACCCCAGTTGATAGTACTTCCAAAGTCATAGCTCTTGAGACAATGCTTGAGAAAATAGTAGACCACTGGTTCTGCAATCATATATCATTAACAAATGAATGATTGAAAAGTACTCTGAATGAACAATTTTGCTCAATTTAAATAAACTTGGCTATCTTGTGGATATCTAGAAGTATCAATGTGGCCAAATAAGGAGAAAATCCTACCACATCCATGAGAATCTCAACAAGATTGATGTGATTCATGATGATGACCCCAGTTTCTCGCGAGGCTTCGCGCTTAAATCCGGTGGGGTTGGTTATGATCCCGCGAGGAAATGCTCGAATGTACTCGTCTTCGTTTAGCACGCCTGAAGTGCCATCAAGTCCCATAGTCCACATGGGCTCTCCCACCTGCGCCATTCGGATCAGTTCCTCCATGGCCGTCACCGCCAGCTCGATTATCATCGGCTTCTCAGCTTCAGTCGGTGCAGTGATTGATCGGAAAAAGTCCCCGCTCCCATAAATGTCACCCCCGGCACCTGATTGGCCCGAGAAACTTGCGAAACCATGATCTAGTGGGCGAGGAGGGACCGAAGAAGAAAGAAGGGGGTAGTTCGCTATCGGCTTGCCTACATACTTTGCAGCTATTGCCGATATCCTATCAATCTGAAACCAAACTAAGAATCAAGATATAGTTTAACTAAAAGATATTCTTTAGCTGAACATAGTTTTAGGTCCCCAAATTATAATAATCGTCAGGTTATCCAGTATGCTGTTGGCAAAAAAAAACATTACTTCCACAGGCGGTTCTGGATTGCGTACAGAGTAACAACAGTCCGCACTCTCCTTACCAAAAAAAAAACAAAACAACAGTCCGCACTTTTTCTCGAGTGCATATTTGTCATTAACTCGGGCACTGCATACGGAAAACAGAATTTCTTTCCATCTCTAATAAGAACCTAGAAATTAATTTACCTCTTCTCTTAGACGTGCATTTTCAAGCCTCAAGTGATGTTCATCGAAGGACATCTCTCCTATGGCAGTTGGGCCTCCACAGTTGGGACAGGAAGCGTTGTTGAGTGCTTCTCGGTACCTCATGTTATCTGCCTGGAGCTTCTCGTTCTCGTTGCGGAGCTGTGTGTTCTCATGGCGCTCATGTTGGGTCTGAGAGAAAATATTTAGAGTAAATTTAAATCTTAGGGAATATAACAAAAATAAAGTATCAAAACAAATGCAGAATTAGTAGCCATTGTCGTAGATCCATGCACTTTCCGTAATCCGAAGGCAATATTTATCTTTCCTTAATTCAGGTTTAGGTGCATCGTATTGGATTCATGGTGGCCGTGAACAGATAGTGTAGGGCCAACGTCAGTCTCATGTAAGTGTAAGGTTCAGAGGTTTCCAAAGGCAAAATACTGCGAAGAATTATTTAAGATAACTGGGCGAGCCTCGAAACTTCTAGGTACCTTTCTTGACTACTCTAGAACGCAATACGGGAAATGTACATAAGGGCGTTCTAAAGTATCCTGTAAAACGAGAAATATACTTGTATTCTGGAGACTTCTCATCAATCTCCACCTTTAGATTGGTTGGAGTTCAATGATTTTAAAAAGATGAATTCTTTCATAATTATGCTCCCTCCCCCCGAAAACACCAACCATTGTAACTCTTATATATTTTTGATTTTTTGAGGGGATAAGGAAGGTTTTCATTTTAGTTACCTACATGTTTTTTTGGGTCTGTAATTGTCTTCATTTTTTTTTCGGTCATACTGTAATTACCTTCATTTGAGTGCGCTTGTTTTGGAACCAAAACTTGACTTGCAAAGGCTCAAGCCCTAATTGACGCCCCAGTTCCTTCCTTTGCTTATCATCCGGGTGTGGACACTCCTTGAAAAATCTATATCCAAAAACAAAATCACCAGATCGTTAAGAAAACGTGTAAAAAAAATCATCATTGAGATGAAAAAAAACACAATTCAGGGCAAAACTCACGCTTCCATTTCTTGAATCTGGTGCTGGGTGTGACGATGGTAGCGCTTCTTCTTCTGGCGCTCATCCTGCAGATCGTCGCCGGAGGCGGGCCCCTCATGGTTGTCGCTGCCGGACTTGGTGCTGTCCAAGTCGTCATCTCGGAGGCGAGCGAGCTCACTCTCCGACGGATTCTGCGCCATGTCTAGAGGGTGAAGCTGCGGACCACCGCCACCATCCATCAAGTTTTGCTGGAATATGTCCATCATAGAGATCTCCTTTAAAGATTCCCAACCAAACGCTTACGGGTTTTCAATCTAAACAAAAAAAACAAAAAAAAGAGGAAGAGAGACAATGCAAAAATGACCACTCTCAACGAAAGCAAGGGAAAAAATCACACACATATATCCTAATTAACACACGAGTGAGTGTGTGAGAGAATGTCTGAAGAGATATTAGGGGAGCACAATGGCAACAAGAATTGATGTTTATGAAAGAGAAAGGGGGAAGCATTTAAAATAGACCTGAGAAAAAGTAGGATATGACTCTAAAAGGCAGGCAAAAAGAGAAAAAGGAAAAGCATCAACCATTCATGGGCAAGGCTTGATAATGAAAAACAGGAGCAACTAAAACTGCAATGTAATAATATTGCATAAGAAGCACGAGCGAGGCTGCGAGGGTTTTGAATCTTTACGGGTCGCATTTTTTCTTTTGATTTTCAACTGCTGACTCACACACCATTTTTTGAAAATCGAGATGGATTTTCCTTGAAATAGCAAAAAGTTGAAGGGGAGAAATATGGGAGATCGAAATAAAAACAAAAGAAATTGATGACAAAACAGAGAAGAGACTTTTGACTCCCGTAACCTGTAAAAGGGTGATGAGCACAGAATCTAAAGATCTGTCGAGAATGAGGTGGAGAGACTGACAAGAGTATTGTGTTTCAGGATACAAAAATAACCTTTATAAAAAATTGCAACGAGAGAGAGAGAGTTGATTTATCAGTGAACCAAAAGGTAAAATGAAAATAAAATGGCAGAAACAAAAAGGAGATGACAAGAATCCCGATAACGAGTTTCACCTTCACAAAGTTTCCAGAAAACCAAAACTGACCTGAGCAATCCCGAACCCACCGGCGTTTCCGTTGATGCCGATCATAGAAGACATGTCTCTCCCCGGAATCATGACTCGGGCAGGCATCTTTCTCAGTATTCTTCTGGGTTTTCCTTGTATGTACAGTGGTGATTTTAGGGCTGGGACTTGGTGAAGATTCTGTCTGGAGGTCTGAGAACGAGGCTAAATATGAGGTCACTACAAGTTAGAGAGAGAGAGAGAGAGAGAGAGAGAGCCAGGTAAGTCTTGACTTTGGTCCAGTGTTGCCGTTGAAAATTAATAAGACATGGGTTTTTGTTTTCATGCGAGATTCAGTCCATGTCTGTTTTACTGTTACGCGCCAAAAACACGAGAACAGTGCAGAGATAAGGGTTGACAAATTTCTATCGAAGCCGTCCTCTTCTTGACAGAACCAAAAATCAGGAAGAAAAATCAGAACGAAAAATGAAAAAGCAAAGTGTAACGCCCGCTAATCTCTCTCTCTCTCTCTCTCTCTCTCTCTCTCTCTCTCTCTCTCTCTCTCTTTCTCTTCCTATGTCGTCTTTTTCAACTATTGAACGGTTCGTTTCGTTTTCGTTCCATTTCACCTTGCTCCATTCATGCTCTGCAATAAGGGCGAGAACGCCAAAATTAAGCAAAGACGACAAATTATGTAAAAGAAAAAATCATGGGTAGTGCGTAGAAATCTTTGTTAGGCCTGTCTATTCAAGCACAAGAAGATAAAAAGATTACTGCAAAATTTTGCCACTGATAACTGCATGAGAGATTATTGCCAAAAAATAAACCAATGCAAAGTAAACTTAAAAAAGAACTACGGGACTTACGCTGAGAAATAAAATAGAAAAATATATATAGAAGGATGAGGGGAAATCTGCCTCCGGTTATTCTGTGTCTTGGTGGAACCCTAACTCAGAACCATTTTCTTGGCGAGAGAGAGAGCGAGAGAGAGAGAGAAGAAGGAGAAGGAGAAGAAGAAGATGAAGATGATGATGATGGAGGAAGGAAGCACAGATAGAGAGAGGGAGAGGGAGAGAAATGGCAGAGAGGAGTAATTGCAGAGGGCATCGAGAGGGTGCAACAGCATTAAATGATGGAGGGAGTGGGCTCAGTGGGGTGTCAACGAATTCAATACGAGAGAGAGAGAGAGAGAGAGAGAGAGAGAGAGAGAGAGAGAGAGAGAGAGAGAGAGAGACTTAGTTTGATGCTCAATCTGATTTCACAGGTGATTCCGTGGTTTCTTCCTCAGCCACCCTTCAAGTTTCAATGCAACCTCGTAGACAGACTATCGTCTTCTTTAATTCATGGACTCACAGGAGAGGATGCGTTCCTGAACACTCTGAGATCCTGAGAAAGTCAAATGATTGATTAATAGATAGTGTCACTCTTGCACCAAAGACAATGTAAATGATCTTTAAAATTTTTTTACATTAAAGAAGATTAGTGTAAATGATCTTTAGATCACATGGACATTGCAAATTTCACCAAGGCTTTCAACATGGAGTGACGGCACCGGCATTCCCAAATGAATTCAAACGTGTAAACAACTCCAGGTGTGAAAGTGAGAGGTTAGAAGGAACTAATCTATCACCTTCCTCTTTGTGAAAAGTAAGAAAATGCCTGATGCATCAATTTGGATTTCGAAAAGCTCATTGTGCTTGTACACGAAGGACGAGAACATCATACGATCCAACCTATTAAATTACTTATATGAACATTTTGTTGGCGATTCATGTGTAGAATGAAGCGTATCGTGTTGGATGTTATTCTTGTTCGCTTACTTTTTCTCCAACATCACGTAATCAATCTTTATTGGTGTGATTCTGATGAGATAAGGATATTAAAACGTATTGAATTTACCTTTTAACCGTTGGTCAACCAAATTATATCTTTGGATCGATTCGATCTTTTGGACATGTCATTATGTTTGATAGCAAACCAAGCTAATCATAAGAAAGATGCATTTCCGATGGCATTTGTCTTGTGAGATCCATTTACTTCTGTCACCAGGTACATTCGAACTTCTTTGGCAGGATATCTAAACATGCTTCATAGTTATGTCAGCATTGATTTCCCTAATTTCGCTTTCATGGAATAATATTAATGCCGATCTCATAAATGCGAATGCACATGAAGGATAAGCTCGAAGCATGAAGCAAGCATTCCATATACAAATACATTTATTTGGTAGGAGACTCCGAAAAGTACATGAGATAGTGAGGTGAATTGTGACACTATGAAAACGAAACCCTAATCATTTCCCTGTTTTGGCAACAATGTTTTCAATTCTATGCTCAACTTCCTAAATTGGTTTCACCCAAATGCTGATAGTTTTGAATTGAGGAGCCTAACCATTCTTTCAAAAAATGTAATACTTCTAGAGAGATTATTTTGATGGTATCGAGTGATGCATACTCTTATGGAGCGAGAATACCCTATTTATATATTTCTTTACTTATTTATGAGCTTTATATAAGTAAATTTCCTCCCTACAACATAACCGCGTCATGACTGATGTCATTGAGTATAGCTTTCCTTAAGGTATTGCGATCACCGGACAATTTTCTAGGTAATTTTTCATGTACCAAGTTAAATTCACATTCCCTTTTCAAATAGCAATACGTCACATGCACCGAGATGGCAAGATTAAAGGATTTGCAACCTAATTCAAGACCTTTCATAAAAGAGCATCAAACCCTATATGTCACGGTTCGTAGAGTACAAAATGGCAATCATTTACTAACTAAATTAATCATATTAATTTGTACTATATTGAGAGAGTGGTTATATAGTCTAGTTTATGTTGGTTGTTTGTTTGTAAAATAAACAAAATAATGCCTTTTTCTTGTCCCACATAAGAAAGTTAGGAGTGTGTGGGCCACTATATAAGTGTGAATGTCTTCTAATTTGTTTAAATGAAGACGATGGACAATGGGCTAGTCCTCACAATTCTCTTGTGCAGGTACGCGATTATTAGATACATTTAGTAGCGCTCGCGGATCATAATTAGCACTTATCGTCTTTTATTACTTTTTATTTTTTAAAATTCGAATTTATTATTATGTAATAACTATGTTGCCCTGTTGAAACAGTGAGATTGTTCATAAAAGAATTATGGTTATTTTTTAATTAATTTCGAATTTAATTATTTTCCGTAAATGTTATTAGGCGCTCTTACAACTTTTAGAAAGTTATGTCTGTTTGGACATAACCGCTTAACATTTGGAGAGTTGTGTCCATTCGAATAGACTTTCTTCTCTTTAAAAGGTTGTAATTTTTCGGAAGTATGAAATTCGGAATTAAAAAAAATATTATTATTATTATTATCTGAATTTTCAGTATGTCTTTTGAGAAGGTATCCGTTCGGAAATAAATTTCTTGAAAGGTTGCATTCGATTCCGAAAGACTGAAATATAAATTCATATTTTTGAGTATCTTTTCACTTACTTTTTGATACTTGTTTCTTAAAACCATATAGCAATCTTTTCAAATTATTTTTCTAGAGTGATCCTAAAAAAGTACTAGAATTGTTATATGATATTCTCATTCGAGACATTGTTGTATTTTGGAGGATTTTTACCGGTAATCATTAGCAACGTTGTAGGGCAAATAATTCCTTAAAGAGAGTATTATTATGCCTCAAAGTCTGATTCCATTCTTCTTATTGATGATTGCTTGATTTTTCCCCAACAACACATCTTTGTTGGCAGCATTTACTATGGATCCATGACAAACCAGGACAAGAAATCCCACATATGCTGATTTGGTCTACGCCTTTCGAAGAGGAAGCTTCCCTTACCCAAAGCCTATTACATTGTGAAAGTAAGATGATTTTTCATTGTCCACAACCAATGAAATGATATTGGACTGAGTCTCATATCGGATAATTAACATGTGGAACAATTATAATTTTTAGTATGCTTACAATTCGTTGGTTTAAAATTCCGAGTAAAAAGTAAAAAGCAGTTTAACCAGTATATTAAAAGACTTGAACTCAACTCAGCTCCCTCTTGACAATATCGTATTGGGGCAACCAATAGAGATTGAATTGTGATCGCACTGAAATCATAAAGGCCACCGAGTACGCATGACATCAGGCCACGAGAAGAACGTACATTTAAACTCCTTAACTCAGCAAAACTAACTCGGTTCGATCCTTCCAAACAATCGCAACAGATTTTATTAATTTTCTGTCAGGATGGCATCATACTTCTTCAATTCCCCATTCACTTTACCACCTGAGACAACTAATCGGAAGATAAAGGAAGTAAATTGCGTTGGAGAGATGAACTGTTCTTGCTGCATGTGATTGAGCAATTTATTTCAGCAAAAGACAAAATAATGAAAGAAAAATGTTGTAATCAATACACAAAATGTTTGAATTTGCAAGCTCGTTCGATTCTATGGTGGGATTTCAATGACATAAATTTTTGTTTTTAAGATGGATAAGTTGTGGAGAGATTGAAGTTTCCCATTCAAATGCTTCTTCCTCTTTCTGCAATCTCTTTTTGAGCCATCAATAACTGAAATAATTAATGGAGGCTGGGCATTGCAATGACCATTTAATGCATTCATGCCTTTCTCGTATCACTTGCTCTCTCAGTTTTAAATAATCATCGAATTGAATACCTTATCGTATTTGCAACATTGCTGTAGAAAATGACCAATCTACCATGGATTGCAATCGATCGCACGCTTTTGATTTTGAAATTTTTTTGACTAGAGTCAGCGCTCGAAGGTCATTTTATTCCAATGTTTCGTGAATGTATCATTTTGCAATTATAAAAAAAAATACACATACTATTTGCTCACAAAATACAGTCATTTTATTAACAGAAATTTATGACAAAACTATTTTTAGGTTCTGTCATACTTACCCGAATTTTTTTCCATGCACCCTTTAAGGAAAATGACCGTATAAATTCGTCCGTATCCCGCATCCTATAATTTCCGTCCCTTGCGAAATTTAAAAATTAATAGCTCAGCAAACAAAAAAAGGAGGGGTGAGGAGAATTCCAAACCAGTCATGATCCAAATGTATAGACTTTTGGTGAATTGACACTTCTCTACCTTCCCTTAAAGTTCCACAAGATTCACTACTTTTATGAGTACCAACTCGTTGGTTTTTAGGAAAAACATCCCGCGTCATTAATAAACAATTTTCTTCTCTCTCTCTCTCTCTCTTTGAATCTACTTATGTCTGAATTTGTGGTTCTCGTGACTCCCAGGTAGCCAAAAAGTGTAAGAGAGAGGAGCATATGTCGTTTGGATGTGACTGATATCTGGATGGAATTTTACTCATCCATTTTCGTTTATTTGGAAATCTTCCATTCCTGCTTTTGGACGAAATCAGCTTGAAAGAGTGTCCCAGCCAAATATGACCATGGATAGTCGCTTAAAATAAATTTGGATGAAAAGGCAAACTCGAAGCATAGAAATTGTGAGGTCTGTTCCATGCATTATGAAATTTTATGCAGCAAAAATTACTGCATGATACTTTACGCAGCAAACCCAGGATTTCTTGCAATCGCTTCTTCAAGGAAATGATTTGATTACGAGATGATGATACAAAAGGAGAGCGAGTTTTAGAATGAAAAGATAAATTTTTGGAAGAGTGCACTTGAATTCACGTTTATAAAAAAAAATAAAGAATCATGCGGAGGTTGATAAATGAAAAAGTGGCCCTCTCCTAGAATATAAATCGACAACCCCTTCATAAACAAACAATCAATATGGAAACACCTTAGGCAATAGTTGGCATGAACCGCGTTAAAAGCCGAGAGTATTGTTTGGATACACGGTCTATGTAGGCTTTGTACGTGTTTCAAACGTGTACTCTTTTCAATGGTTTGGAAAATGTATAGAAAGACGTGCGTACGCATGTACAGTACGGTACAGTAGACACCAAAATACAAAGCACATGGGTGACAGACAGTACATACATATACCTAGCATTGTTTTCCTTATCGTGGCAGTCGTGGCCAAA